CCAGTCCCAAATTGTCCACACAAAGCACCCTTAAGGATGGAGAGTTCTCTTACCGTACTCTTAAGGACGGAGGGTTCTGAAGTAGCAACCGCTGAGACAACTTAATGCAAGGCCAGCGAGGTAAGACCAAGGAGAACAAGAACCTACCCCCACCGATCAATTATTCGAGAGAAAGAAGAGACATGGAAGATCTTGGAATGAGAGCCTTCCGCGCGTGGATGCACTGTTTGCAGCACTCCAGACATTGCAAAAAAAAAAACGTGAGAAGGAAAGCTGCAAAAAAAGCGTGAGAAGGAAAGCAGCTGGTGCAAGGAGAACTGGCCAAGAGACCTTCTTGGAGTCTGCAGCTAATGAGGCCGCGCGACCGATTTTCGACTGCACCTGTCGGCAGTTTCACAAAAAAAAGACACATCTGCGGATCCCAGGTCCTGAGAGGCGATAGGCTTGGTTCGCGATTTCTCTCCCTGTTGCTCCCAGGTCCTGTATATTGATATTAAGATTAAGATGAAATTAAGATTAAGATTCAGATTAGTAAGTTTAATCTTCAATCTTCAATCTTCAACCTTCAACCTTCAACCTTCAACATTCAATCTTCAATCTTTAATCTTCAATCTTTAATCTTTAATCTTGAATCTTTAATCTTTGAATCTCTAATCTTTAAGCTTTAATCTTTAATCTTTAAAAATCTTTCATCTTTCATCTTTAATCTTTCATCTTCGACCTTCGATCTTTGATCTTCGATCTTCGACCTTCGAAATTCGATATTCGATCTTCGATCTTCGACCTTCGACCTTCGATCTTCGATCGTCGATCGTCGATCGTCGATCGTTGGTCGTCGGTCGTCGGTCGTCGATCGTCGATCGTCGATCGTCGATCGTCGATCGTCGATCGTGCATCGTCCATCTTCCATCCATCTTCCATCTTCCATCTTCCATCTTTCATCTTTTATCTTTCATCTTCCATCTTTCACCTTTCATCGTTCATCTTTCATCTTTCATCTTTCATCTTGCTTCTTTCATCCTGTTTCATCTTTCATCATTTTTCATCTTTCATGTTTCATCTTTTTTCATCTTTCATCTTTTTTCATCTTTCATCATCTGTCATCTTTCATCATCTGTCATCTTTCATCTTTCATCTTTCATCTTTGTCATCTTTCATCTTTCATCTTTCGTCTTTCATCTTTCATCTTTCATCTTTCATCTTTCATCTCTTTCATCTTTCACCTTTCATCTTTCATCTTTCATTATATTCTTGTACCTTTTATCTTTTATCTTTACTCTTTTATCTTTAATCTTTCATCTTTTATCTTTTACCTTTTATCTTTGACCTTTTATCCTTTGTCTTTTATCCTTTATGTTCTACCTTTTATCTTTTCTCTTGTATCTTTTATCTTTTAACTTTCATCTTTTATTCTTTACCTTTTATCTTCCATCTTTTGTCTTTTAACATTTATCTTTTTTCTTTTCTCTTTTCTCTTTTATCTTGTATCTTTTACCTGTTTATCTTTTATCTTTTATCTTATGTCTTTTATCTTTCATCTTTCATCTTTTGTCTTTTGTCTTTTGTCTTTTTGTTTTGTTTTTTGTCGTTTGTCTTTTGTCTTTTGTCTTTTATCTTTTACCTTTTATCTTTATCTTTATCTTTACCTTTATTTACAAAAAATGTTTCAAAATGCTATACTGGGTTTAGGGCTGAGCTTTTGCAGAGCATGGCTTACGATGTTTGAGGGTTGTGCCTTGGGCGCAGTTTGACAGGCTTTCCGCGCTTTTGGGGCGTTGTGTTGTTCATCAAGCCCTGGCAAGTTTCCATGTGGCGCTCAAGCGCAGAAACGAACTCATCTAGCTGCTTAGCTTGCACAAGAGTCATTCGTTTTACTGCAGTTGCGCAGGGCCCTGTCGGAAATGCAAGGTTGCCGGGTTCTTGTTTACTGCATTTTTACAGCCAGCAGCTAGTCCTTGAGACAGCTGGTTCATCATCAAGCCGGTTACCAGCTTTAGGAGGGCTTCATGCCTAGCTGCATCACCATGGCCTCTTTGAAGCGGGATTGCCGAGTCTAGTGATGAACGTCGCGACCCGGGATTTTGGGATGCAGAAGGAGCCCTAGTGGACGGTAAAATAGAGACTGTAAGCACGCCGAGAATATGTCAAATCCTTCATGAAGTCCCTAAACAATACACAATCATGATCAAACACCTCAACCCCCAGCCTGATTTCAAACGTTGAAGTGAGGCTTCCTGGGGTGTGGAATTTTTGTCGTGCGGGTTGCGGAGTTTCGGGCTCTGGTGGCTAAGGGGTTTGAGTGTTGGGTGTTTCAATTTGGGCAGAAAGGGTTAGGGCTTGGGCTTCTGGTGCCAGGTTCCAGAAAAACTAATCTCGATTTAGCAGGTGGGCTCAGGAGCCTCAGGTTCACACATCGCGTTCAGGGCTGGACCAACCAATCACATGCCGAGTCAATCAATATGATCAACATGAATGCTGAAAGGCATACAACTTCTCTCTTGCACGGCTGCGGTACGAGACCTAGCAGTAGCATAGAGCCTGCGCGATTTGATTTACGATCCGCTGACTTGCTCACCTAGTGCAGCATAAATATCGCGGACTTTGCAGTCGGAGGCAGCCCAAGCCCGAAATCGGCTGTCCTGTATGTGCCCGTTCTTGACATCCGGCACATATAAACTGCCAGCTCTAATCTCCCAGCCCAGAAGAGGGAGCCGCAGGCCATACGGGGCATATCACAACTTCTTCCAGTTGTCCACCATGAGTGGGTCAGTTGTGATCGATCTCGCTGCTGCATAGGGATATGTGGTGGGGATGCGACCAAATCCGCGAGTGCTTCCTGCTAACACCAGCATCAAGCAAGCTTGACGTGTTTGGTGAGATAAAAATGCCAAAGTTTTGCGCGGTGCTTGGAGAGCAGGGTTATACCGCCGATCTGTGGCTTGAAATGAGGCAGTGCAACATAGAGCCGGCTTTCATAGGAAAAAATCGCTGGCGGAAAGAAGCATGCTACAGTCTCTGAATATTTCGATTTTTGTGTTTGACAAGTAGTTCGGCTAGCACACATCTCCACCCAAGCACGCATCTAAGCAGCATCGTAAGTTACCCCCGCATTTTGATGCCTCCTGTGCATTATGGCTTTCTGCACACAGAGCAGCTCAGCGTCTGGGACGAGATGGAAAGAAAGCAGCTTTTGGGATCCACAACCAGCGGGTGTTTACAATGCTTCAGCTTCGGGCTCGCAGGCTGGCTGTGGGCCCTGGTGACGCTGTTTTTTTGCGCCTACGGCGGAGTGTGCCCGAATGTGGGCCTAGTCGATGTGTATGGTGCCAAGGCCACTCGCATGCTAGCCCTGCTGCTGGGCTTGGCTACCGCGTGTTCCATAAGCGCGACACGGGCAGCTAAAACCCTTTTGGAAAGCGAAGAATTCGAACAGTTGTTGAGGAATTACAAGGTGCAATCAGCTAATATGGAAGGCATCTCGCAGCGCGACGTGCATTCTCACCGCTTTGAGTGTCAAGCTCAATCTGTGCTGCTCGTGGTCAAAGATGCTTTGCTCTACGGTCTCTTGTTCGGGATCTCTCTACGACCAGCCTTTGCATCAGATAAGACTTACGTGGTGGGATGGCTTTTGTTACTTGGATGGATAACGCTTTACTCAGTTGGCTACGAAAATGTCCTGTGGCAGGTCCAGAGATTGAGCAAGTGCCTCGTGCAGGAACTGATGGACGACATAAATGGTGGCCCAGGGAAGTGGAAGGGGACTGGAAAGTTCTGGCAGGACATGACGAAGAAACACTACCGGATGGACCTCAAGATTGAGAGTGCTTGGATGCGTGCCACCTGGGTTGCTGTACCTGATGTGGTTCATGTCGTGCTCTCTCTGATGATTGGCTTGGTGGCTTGCCTGTCTGCAGCCGTGAACAGTACAAGTGGTGTTATGGCTCTGGTCTGCTTGTTTGGTATAGGTTTCGAAGTGTGGGGTTTTGCACGGAGTCTTTTGGAGACTGCCAGCATCACGCACATGTGCATGTCAACAGCTGCTACAAGCAAGAGCATTATGTCGCTCGCAATCGCACAGTCCGGCCCCAGCCCATATAGCCACATTGACATCAGCAAAGGCGGCTACGACAGTGTTGATGATGAGCGTGAAGATCATGCACGCTTTCTCACATATTTAAAGGCAAACCAATGTGGCGTGGAGATGTTTGGTGTTCTCATAGATTCGGGGCTCATCCTGCGAGTTCTGGCCAACGTCGGCACCGCGTTTCTGGCGCTACTCTCCTACCTGTTGGCCACGCTCGATATCCACGAGGACGATGTGATGCCAACATTTCAGCATTTCACAAGTATGCTCCCTTTCATGAATTCCTAGGGTTCATCAACGCTATTGGTCTTGCGCATCTGTCCAAATGCTGTTTGACCACATAGGAACAACCCGTCAGGCCCATGAGGTTTCCACATAAAGCAATTATGCACCATTCCGCGATCACTTCATCATTCAAGATGTCCTGATCCGGAGCTCCTCGGCAGAGATCGATCTCCACGGTGGAGCTAGACTCGGACAGCTTTGTCTGAGGGCCGAGAGCAGGAGGGAGTACCCATCGACAGCGCGCGCGTAGAGCAGGAGCAAAAGCTTTGAAGAAGATTTAGAGGGGAACAGCCTCTCCAAAAGTCTGGGAGGTAGTCCCCTGAAATCCGGAAGATTGGAGATTTTATCACGCCAGACATCCCAGTCGAAAAGATTTCGCCGGGAGGACCCCGAAGATGCCCCTGTAGGGTGGTCCATTGGATTCACTTGAGCCTGCGTTGTATCCACATTGTTGCCCCGAGCCCGACAGGGAATATGCAACCGTAGGGGGGGGGGTTTCCCCGCCGTTCTTCCGAGAGTGCACGCCGAGTTGGATTAGTGCCCTTTCCGGGATCGGCACAAAAGGCAGCCTCCCTTGCCATGACGGTACCAGAGGCAGGTGGCAACTCCCGCTTAACTTCCGAGAGTGTACTCAAGACTGGATTAATGCCCGCAGCGGAATCGGCACCAGAGGCAAGCGTTCCACGGAAAGAGGCTTGGCCCTCTTTGGCTCCCGAAAAATGTCCCGATGGATATGTCCGTCTTCCCGGGTACGGTCCAGGTCCAGCTGGTTCTTCGTGTCGGAGAAATGCCCAGAGCCACATCCCCAGCCAGGGGAAGAGGGAGGGAAGAATAGAGGCCCCGCGCTCCCTGGTCCCTCATCACACAGGGTCTTTTGCCTTGTGGTTTTTGCCACAGTAGCCTCCCGATGGAAGGAGGACCGGGCAGTTGTAGGACCTACCAGTTTCCCGGGCACCTGTTGCGGAGGATTGCCCGTAACCCTCTCCACGGCCGCTTTGCCAAAAGTTCTTCCGCTCGTGAAAAAACGGGGGGTGGTTCCACAGTCCCTGTGCTCTCCTGTCCCGGAGCAGCAAGGGAAGTTTGTCCAGACTGCAGGGCCCTAAAGTGACGACGCCAGTTCTCCAATCTGCAGGAGGCACTTCTCGGAGTTCGCCTGAAGCTTCCCCAAAGAAGACTCCAGCTTGTCAATGTTGACCTGCTGGAAGTCCAGCTGTTCCACCACACAGCTGAGCCTGTTCGCGGCTGGCGGAGGACTCCAGATGTCCCAGTCTGACAGTGGTGTCCTGGACAAATTGGCGGTTAACTCTCCACGCCCTGCGGCAGTCATAAACAAATTTTTGGACGTTCATGTACCGAAGGAGGCACTGGGGGCACACAAAGCCTCGCATGGAAATGCGGCGGCACTGAATCCCTGGTGATGCAAGGCAAAAGCACGCTGTCCCTTTTCACAGCGCAGCAACGTCAGGTCTTTGCAGTAGCCCCTCTGTGAAAAGGAGCCGCCCTCGTTGCAAAATGGAGCCAGAAAAGGCGCAATGGGGAAAGCTGCCACACAGGAGGAAGGGAACAGCAAGAGAATCGGTGCCAGAGGCAACCGTGCCAGACCACCTCCTGATTGGTCGGGTGTCCAGCTGTCCGCGAAAGTGTCAAGCGAGCGGAGCGCTTCCGCCGAGGGCTCCGAAAAGACTAATTTCCAAAGTTGCGAAGATGCCTCTGGCTCAATCGCACTCTGACAGGCTCCGTTCCAGGCAGGGCATGGGGAGCTGCATCCAAGAGGGGCCTCGTGCCCTCGAACTTCCTGCAGAAAAGCATTCGGCGCTTGATCCACTTCTCTCTTTTCTGGGGGAATGTCCGTGACAACCGTATGCAGAACGACGTCGCCATCGAAGATCTCCAAGAGGTGCGCTCCGGATTCGGCAGCCGCTTTCCCATCCGGAGAGTCTGACCCCCATTCTGTGCGGCAGAAAGAGCAGGCGCAGCGGTGACTTTCTCGCCTCTTCAAAGCCCGACAACGCGGGCAGGACATTGCCACATTCCACATGAAGCCAGTCCCGGAAGCCCGGCAGCATCGGCAGCATTCAACACAACACGACCAGAAGTTTTAGCATCTGGCCCGGCTGCTGCCACGTGCCCCGGGCGAGCCGAGCCCAGCTTGCACGAGCACACTTGTGTCTGTGTCATGGGGGTCTGGAGCCCGGCGGTGCCGCGAAGCATGCGCCAGCCTGCTGAATGCCTTGGCTGTCTGTGAGCCCGACTAGTGTCGTAGCATCACGCAGCATCACGTCGCTTGCCCGTTTGCCTCCAAGGCTTGCTTTTCCGTGGCTGCCTTGTTGTAGTTTCTTATAAGCCCCCATGGGCACGCCCACGAAGCAGTGCGGTGAGAAAGATCCAGGGCGGGGAATCGCGCTGGGGAGGAGCCCCCGACTGGTCGCCCGTGGAGAATGGTCTGTCGCGTGTTGGCAAGGGGACTGGAGCGTGCCAGCGGCCACAAAGAAAGGTGCTCTGAGGCCCCCCAGCACAGCCATCATCAGGCGCCTTACACCACAGGGCAGACGCGATTCGGCGTGAAGCAAGGCCGATCTCTCAGGGAACACGGCATCGACCACGAGCAGCCGGGAGGAGCTCAGGGTAGGTGCCGTGCTTGCGTGCCGCTGCCTGTTTGGATTGCGCAGCATCGCACCCCGTGCACGCACACGCCTGCCCGCGACGCTGGACAGGGCTGACGAGCGCAGTCCGTTGGCCACAACATGCCACAACCTTAACGCGCGTTTCTTGTTTTTTTCCTAATGTTCAGCAGCAAATCGCGCAGCGCAGTGCTAGTGGCAACGCGCGCCTGGCTTCCCGGCAAACACGGGCGCAAGCTCGCTCCACTGGCCCGTTGGGAATTCATTGTTTACGAACAAGCATCTCAACTACTCAAACGGAATCTGCCCCGCGCTGCAGTGTACGATGTGCTAACTCTGTTAGAGATTGGCGTCGAAAGTCGCGGGAATCAATTCGCCGCGCATTGGGTTTGATGGTGTGACGCGCTGCCCGTCCCAAGCCCTGCTGTGGCTGAAATAACAGATAATTACCGCAGGCATGTGACGTCGGCTTCAGGGCACCTGAGTGGGCTGATGTCTGCCACAGCGTCGCCGCTGCGCACCACCCGCTGCGTGCAGTGAAGGCGTCCGGCTCATTACGCGTTTTTTTTGCTCGTGTTTTTTTTGCCTTGCGTCAATTTTCGTATCTTCAACTCGAAGAAGGCCCAACTGATTTTCACCGACGCTCAGTTCCACCGTGCTTGACGACGCCATGCGGACTGAGAGTTACAGTAACCTTTTCGGTAGTGTGGCACACCGGTGGTTAGGCTGTTCGGTATCTGACCGAAAATGAGGTGCTTTGCTAGATTTTCGTTCGCAGGCTGCGCCTCGCACTTTTTATGGCTATCGTCATATGTTGTGACCCCAGTGTTTCCATCATGAACCATTTGGCCACCGGCATGTTTGGCTGCAGGGCGCCCCCCAAACACGCTTGGAGTTTCCCCATGGTCGTGCGCGCGCGTAGTATGCCGACTTCGAAGGCAGGAGCGTTCGCAAGGCATGGTTGGCGCGGGGCGACGCGCAGAACAAGAGCAACCGCGAGGCGCACTGGAGGTCCGGAAGTTGAGGGAGTTCGTCCAGTAGCGCACCGGCAGCTCCAGTAACGTGGCCACGCGTGGGCTCTCAGTACCGCCAGCTCAGCGAGACCCGTCCATCGGCGAGCCAACGCACGCCCCGCTGACCCGAGTGGCACGCTGCGCGCGTCGCGCCGGGCGCCCGCGCCAAACGCCGTATGAAGCTTCGGAGCGCCTCCATGAAGTTTTGCGCCTCCGCTCCGAAGCGGCCGCCGACCTCCAGTCCGAAGACGACGAGGTGACATCGGCCGCAGCTGTCGGAGACAGCTCGGGGTACGTGCGTCGCTTACGCGCTGCCGCGTGCTGAAGCGACATTCCCGGCACAGCGTCGCATGCCGGGCGCGCTCTGGGCGCGTTGTCCGTTGGGCTGGACCGGGCTGGACCGGGCTGGAACCGGGTAGTGCCTCGCCAAATGGGCATGCCGTTGGCGACATTGGCGACAACCTCGATGTGCCGTGCATCGCCGGCGGGGAGGTCCAATTTTGGCTCAAGATGTCTTGACCTGCCCCCCCCTCCCCTTTGCCACGCCCGCGGGGCTCCCGCCATGCCGGTCAGGGCACTGGCCCGAACGTCTCCAGAGCATGGAAACTGTTCCTGCTCGCCCCGCTCATGCTGCTGGCACGCCCGGAGCAACAAGACTCGCAAGGCCGGGCTACGCTCCTCGCGCGGGCTGCAGCGTTCCAACGAGGCGAGTGGCGACAGCTTCTCGCTGCCGCACGGCCCGGACCACGAGCCCGCGAGCCGCCGACGGAGCTCGACCCAGCCGAGGCGTCCGAGCGCAAACGCCAGCGAGCATGCGCCAAAGTGCGGCAGGGCGAGCTCTCTCGCGCACGACAGGTACCCACGGCAGCCGAGCTCGCGCCGGGCACGGAGGCCACATGGGATGCACTCACTGATGCCGCGAAGCGCCCGCCCGAGAAGCGGGTCGCGACGCCCGCTGAGTTGCTTCAGTGCCAACCGGAGCGCTCCGTTCAGCTCTCCACCCGAGCAGTCGCCAGCGCACTTCGCGAAGCCCGCCGGGGTGGGGCGGCTGGCTTATCCGGCATGAGGGCTGAGCACTTGAAGTTGCTTTTGCAGGACTTGGAGGCGCTGGAACTGCTGGCCGAAGCGGCCACGCACCTCGCCCAAGCTCACAGCCCTCCAGCTACTGCTGGTGGGACGCCACGGGGGCGTGCCGGACCGTGCCGCAAGGCGAAGGCTGCGAGCAGGGCGATCCCCTTGCTCCGGCGCTGTTCGCGCTGGGGCAACACGAGGCGCTCTGCCGCCTTGCTAGCCTTCCTGGACGACCTCTATGTCGTCACAGTCCCAGAGCTATCCAGAGCTTGCGCGGGCGGCCCTGGACAGCACGACGACAACAGTCGAGACCCACTGGGCGTCGCTTCCAACCTCGGCAAAACCAGGGCGTTCACGCTGGGAGAGACCCCCCCGCCGCCCGGCATCTCCGAGCTGGGGGCCGCGGTGTGGCGAGGGGACAAGCCACCGCCTGAGAGAGGCCTGGTGGTCCGGGGTACTCCCATCGGACACCCCGAGTTCGTACGAGCATGGGCGGCGGAGCGCATGCAGGAGGAACGCAAACTTCTCGAGCAGCTGCCGGAACTGCCCGACCTGCAGTGCAGTTGGCTCCTCCTCTCCATGTGTGCCTCCACTCGTGCCAACCATGCGCTCCGCACGCTGCCCCCGTCCGAGTCACGAGGGTACGCCGCTGCGCACGATGCAGCCATCTGGGAAACGCTGCAGGCTTGCCTTGGAGGAGAGCCCCTTGACGACGCGCCCCACGCGTGGCCCATAGCCACGCTGCCAGCAGTGCTCGGCGGACTCGGCAACGCACAGCCCCGGCCGCGTACTGGGCTGCGTGGGCAGACGCGCTGCCGGTCATGCGAGCTCGTGCGCCCGATTTGGCAGGCCGGTGCCGGGAGGCCCTGGAAGGGGGAGCGGGCCGAGACGCCCCGTGTCTGCGCGAGGCGGTAGAAGCAGGGGCGCTGTTGCGTGAGGCAGGCTGGCAGACATGCCCCACGTGGAGCGCCTTGTTGGACGGGGTGCGCCCGCCCCCAGCCGACGACGCAGGGCCCGGAGACTGGCCGCATGGATGGCAGATGCGCGCGACGCGAACCCTCAACACGCACTTCCGCGAACGCACGCTTCTGCCAGACATGCCACCCAGTTCCCAGGCACTCTTGCGATCCCAGGCAGGACCGCAGGCAGGCATGGCTCGCTGCGATCCCCACAGAGCCGGCCACCACGCTCCCACCGATGGCGATGCAGATCGCTTTGAGGCGCCGCCTGCGACAACCTCTGCCTCTGCACAGCAACACCTGCGGGCCGCCCCATGGCTGCCGTGGCGCAGTAGACCGCTTCGGCGACCACGCACTACTCCTCGCCAGGCGGGCCAAGATCGTGGAGCGAGCCTGGGTGCAGGTCGCCCGGGAAGCGGTGGGGTCGGAAGGTCAAGTCGTTCCGCAGCAGTGGCTGGCCAACACCACCGGAGCGCAGGACCGTCGCAGACTCGACCTCGTCGTGTACGGGGCGCTGCGCAGCGGGGGGGCGCAGTGCTGCGACGCCACGCTGGTTTCCCCGCTCACGCGATCGGTGCACCCGCAGCCGTGCGCAGCGGCCGTGGACGGAGCCGTGCTGCGGGTGGCTGAGTGCCGCAAGCACGCCGCGTACCCGGAGCTCACGCGAGGGGGGCCGCAAACGCTCGTCGTGCTCGGCTCCGAGGTGGGCGGCCGCTGGAACGCTTAGGCCCGAGGCTTCGTGCGAGACCTAGCCGCCTGGTTGCTGCTGCTTATGTGCGCGGCGCTGCGCAGCAACTACCTTCTGCGGGCCTTGCCACCGGGCGTGACAGGGGAGTTTGCCCGTGGACATGACGCGGCTGTGATCGCATGCCTGGGACGCCTCCTCGGCAATGACCAGCCGCTCACTCTCGACCCACTGTCGCTGCGCCACTGTCGCTGCGACGGGCGCAGCTTCCTCTCCGACTGGGCGGGCTTGGACTCCGGTCCGCCAAGACAGGTCGAGTGGCGGCGTACTGGGCGTCTTGGGCCGACATGCTCCCCATTTTGCGCGCAAGGCATCCCCGGTCCGCGGCCGAAACATTGCGACAGGCCGTCCTCGTGGCGCAAGGCGGTGAGGTGGCGGCACCTAGCGTGGCGGCTTTTGCTCACGCCGCGCAGTCGCTATACGCACGGCTTTGTGGTGCCAGCTTGGGAGGCCCTTTTGTGCGGCCAGCCTCCACCGCCTGAGCCCGAAACTACCACCCAGGCCTGGACAGGACAGCCTGCGAGAGCCTTTTGAATGACCTTGATCCGGCTTCTCGCGCGCTGCTCCTGTCCCAGGCGGGCCCTGGCGGACCGCGCGCCGTTACTGCGCTTCCCACGGCCGCAGCCTTCCGCTTTCTCGATGAGTGTATGAGAGCCCTGCTGCTCCGCCGCCTGCTCGCGCCTTTGCCCCATGCCCCGCGCCGCTGCAGATGCGGCGGGGAACTTGATGCCTTGGGGGATGGCGTCCTGGGACCTCGCGGCACGGGCGGCCGTGCAGGTCTGCCGTGAAGCGGGGGCCCGGGTGGCCAGCAATGTAATGCTACGGGACATGAACCTCGATGTCCCGCTGGCGGATGCGCGCCGCACTGAGGTGCTGGCCAACGGCCTCCCCTGCAAGTTGCCGTTGACACGACTCTCGTAAGTCCGGTCTCGTGGGACGGCGCAGCGCGTCCGAGGACAGACCGGACGCCCGGGGCGGCGGCTTCCGACGCTGCGCGGCGGAAGCGCCAGGACGCTCCGGGCAGCTCGCCGTTGCAGGTTGGTAGTCATCGGCCTTGAGGTGGGCGGGAGACTGGACACAGAGACCGTCACCTTCTTGCGCCAACTCGCCGCGGCGCGTGCACGCGAGGCACCCGCGTGTCTGAGGCCTGCCGCATGCCGGGCCAGCTGGCGGTGGCGGCCCAGCGCGTATGCCATGTCGTTGCTTGAGTTGCCGCTGGCGGGGGCGGAGCATGGTGAGGGTGACCCGCCGCCGTGGGGGGATCTGCTGGCGGACGCACGCGGGCTGGAGCCCATCCCCGACAGTAGGCTGCGCTGAGAGGCGGACCCCCGGCACTTCTTGCGGGCTGAAAAAGGTTGTACTGATGGCAACTTCCGCCTCACTGCCAAGCAGGCTATGCGTGATTGGAAGCTTCCTCCTTTCTCCGAGAAGGAGCCGCTGCCGTGTCAGGACATTTTGCACAGCATAGTATGCATTTTTTTCAGTGGTGTGGGATTTTCACATGGGCAACTCGTATGGCTTGTCTGGTCTTGAGTCTTGACATGGAGTGGACAGGGCCAGTGCGATCGCAGCCAGCCCCACCGAGGAATCGCGTGCGCAGGGGCGGGAGCGAGGGTGCCAGCTGTACTTCTTTTTTTTACGCGCGAAAAAAAAAAGAAAACAGGCGTGCCGAAAGAAAAATATAGCCAGCAGAACATTGCAGAGTGCCAGCAGAACGCATGCCTGGGACTCGGACACAAGGATCAACACTGGAAGAGTCATTGAACAGTTTCGAAGCATTGTTGGGTGGAATGGTGACGCGGATGCAACGCGGAGGACGCGGGGGTTCCAACACAACATGAGCCGATACAAGCGACGGGATGATGAGTTGAACCAAAAAACATTATTGCAATGTCGCGGTTTTGGTTATAGCGCGGTCTGATGTAGCACGCTTGCCAAAGATGATCAAAAAATTGTGACATGTTATTGGTAACGCACCCTTTTCGCGCGGTCCAGGTTAGCGACTACGGAGCTCCCGCTAACAGCGAGCATCGATGGTGGGCCAAGGCCTGGGATAGGTGTGCCAAGGCCTGGGATAGGCCGGCAGGATCCCATGCGAGAGCAAGTTTCGCCCAACGCGCGTTTGAAGCTTGATGATACACGTCGCCAGGTTCCAGTATTTCCAATGCTGTGCTTTCGGTTTCCGTGCAGCAGGCTGTGACCGGCACGGCATTGGGGTCGGCCTGGCCCGCACCGCCCCATGCGAGCCAAACCCAGGGCCCGTACCTCGACCATGTCCTCGACCTCGCTGACGCCGCGGGGCCGAGCCGGCTGCCACTGCGGTGTCTGGCCGTTTAGCCCCCGGCCGTACAGTGCTTGGACCCTGCACAAGCCTACCTCCGGCCGCCAGACCTGTGCAGGTGGAAAAAGGTGGGGGGGTGGGGGGGGAAACTTCAAGGGGCTCCGTAACCTGCGAAACTCACCAGTTTCAACAGCAACCCCTTCCAAATCAAGAACATATATCCTTGCAACAGTGGCAATTTCGGCCCCTGTGAGCTGCGGGACCATTGCTGCACGGCATAATGCAGCTGGTTTGAAGCGTCCAAAGGTCAAAGGTCAAGCCTGAAGGCCCGAAGGCGGCACTTTCAAGGCTCAGGCTAAAGCTAAAGGCACAATTTGGTCACGCGCTTTGGCGGGTACACCCGGAACATCACGCTGTGCTCACTCACAAAGCGAAATCATCTGTCACCGCCAACCATGTAGCTTTGTCGGTTGCCGCATCACGCCTATTCGATTTGGCGGCGCCCAGTCGGTTGGTGGGGGTGAACGAAGTAGGCAGTCATCTCTCGCTCGACCGGACAGCAACCAGGCGGAAAAGAGACGTGCCAAAAAAAATGCAAATCCGTTAAATAAACAATCCGTTTTTTCTTCTTCTTTTCGTGCTCACATTGGCGTCGTATTTGCCCGATGGTCGGCCAACAGGCTCAGCCGAATGTTGCACGCAGGACCGCAAGCACGATACCCTGCACGTAGCAGCGATGGACCTCGGCCATTGGACTGTAGCAACGGAGTGTAAGCCTTCCGCCGAACGTCGATTCGGATCTCATTTTTCGTCATCACACTTCAGCTCCTTGATTTGCCAAACGCCAATTTAGCCCGCTCTCATCACGATGCTGCGCGTGAGGAGGTGGAAAACTCAGGCGGGCAAGAGATCCTGCCGACTAGCAGCAAAGGGACGCAGAGCAAGGCAGACTATGGAGAGGCAACGAGGCTGAGTCCGCGGGAGGAAGTGGGGGTGGCCCGTGCATGGAGGCATGCAAGAAGTTGGACAAAGGTCCGACGTCACTTCTCCAGCAGCCGCGGAGCTCGAGGGCGAGGCCACCTGGCAGACTGCGGAGCTCAGGGTAGGTGCGCTCTTGCTTCGCGAGCAGTGCGACCGTCGGCGCTGCTGGGGGCACAGGTAGAAGCCACAGGGACACCAGCGTGGTGTCGACCGTAAGTTATGAGCCATTAGAGGGCATGAACTTGTTAACTGTTCGCGATGACTTCAATGCGATGTTCATCCAGCCGCGCAACTTCAACAGCTAAGTCTGCGACTGGGGCTCCGGCTTCCGATGTCGACAGCGAATCCCCTCGCCCACTGCTCCTTCGACCCGCCGTTGGCAAGCCGTATTCCCCAAATTGGGGTTAGCACTCTTCGACGTGGGCGTCAGGAAAAACAGATCCTGCAGACTAATCATCTATAATGCGTCTGTGGCGCTGAATGGCAGTGTGTGCGTTGTCACATGCTTGTCGGCGTAACCCAGTCCATGTTTATGTGGAGGAAAGGGCTTCACATGCATGCGCCGGTGAATGCTTGCTTGGCATTGATTTGATGGAGAAAGAGTTTAGGCACAGGTGCTGTTGACATTTCGCATGTTCTTGTTGGTTGCTCAAAAAGCTGAATGATGCATGTTGACATGTGCAGTGGCTAGACCATGCGTGGAGCCCGTCGACAGTGCCACCAAGCAAACAGCAGCCAACGTCAGGCAACTCACACTTGCATAGAGAAGGCTTGTGAGGGCATAGCATGAAGCGTGCAACAACGCCATGTGCCGCCCTTATCACGAACCAGAGTAGGAACACCCGAACGTGTAGGTTTGACCAATTTCTCATCTGATTCCATGCAGGTGCTGCAGAAGATCGGCGGCGGAAGACCTTCGACGAACATGTTGACCAATTGCTATACAATTTTAAGGACTCGGGATTTTGATCGGATTTTAGTAGTTGGCATCACGCGTCCTGTGCAGGGTGTGAGCTTTGCTGCGGGAAGGAGCAGCTTGTGCGAGCACATGACCGCGACCTTACGTGGTTGATGGGGTCTGGGTCGAGCGTTGGTCACAGCCCGAGCTCCTGCAGAGCTTGCTTCTTCACATTTCTTCATCCTAGCGTGGATCCTGGGTCAAACGCCTCAGGCAGCAAGAAGATAACGCGAGAGGATTTCAACTCGGCGGTGTTCATGGGCTCGGCGGCTTTGTCCGATGGGCCGTGGTGGTGCTCTCAGCTCGTATGCATGCAGCTATTCGACTTGGGGTGCTGGAGGGTGAACCCGTTTCGCCTGTTTTAAGGACCCGCAACTCACTCCCAGAGCAATCTACGCTGCAACCGGAGCCTCCGAAATGCAGCACTGACTCCAATGATGGGATGGTCGACAGGATAGGGAGCATTGGCAGTTACCTGAGCTCCCGGGCTTCCCGAACTTCAAGAAGATCAAGGTTTCGCCAGATTGCTGCCGGGGACACAGTTTTTCGCAGGATACTGTGGCCGCTTACGTAAGTTGAGGATCTGCAGCCGTACTTGTGTATGACAGCGATGGATGCCGCACGTTTGATGGCTGTTTTGGTGCACCCAGGCACTTGGTGAAATAGGTTCGGACGAGGCCCCCCCCCCACCTGCACAATGCAGTATCCTTCAGCAGGGAGACGAAACGTGGTGTGCAGGTGATGCCGCCAACAACAATGCCAATGCCGACTATACAAGGCATGTGGCGGGCGATGTCTACAACATCAGCTGTTTCGCAAGGCAAGAAATTTTCTCAAATATCACAAGCTCTGCAAGTTTTTGTTGCGTTTCGGTTGGCGCCAAGATGTGAGCATTTGCTGATGCATGGCCAGGCAGCGCAACGACACTGTCAGAAGCTACGGCAAACACGGCTGTGCTGAATTGGGCTGACATCACAACACGTTTGTTGATGGACAATGATGTCCCTATGCACCTTGGCTCAAAAGATGTTGTCGCGCGCATGCAGTCTCCTAAGCGACCATGCGGTTCTGCATGCGACGGGCTTTGTGCGCCTCGAACAGTTAGGATTTACGCTCGTGTGCGCTCTGACATGTGAGTGGCATGCCTGGGGTCGACCAAAATTTTGCTTGGCTCAGGTTCAACCTTCACCCACGGTGGACCAACACTGCGGCAAGTACATTGACGCCCCGCGAGCTCCGTGACTACGATGGCGACAGCAACATGCGAGCGTCGAGGTCGTTGGCTTCATCATCGATTGGCTACGAGCCAGCTTCCCCTCCAGAGGGTGCTTGCCCTGCAGTGTTGCTGATGTCCCCATGCATGGTGGAGTTTGTTTTTTTGGTGGCCACTTGGGCAGTCGGCATGTTGTGGTGCCAGGTTCATGCAGATTGTGCATCATGCATCCGAACTCCAACGCCAGATTGGCCCCTTGGTGAAAAGCGAGTACACTTCGAAGCCCGGTAGCAGTTTGTTTAGACATGTATGTCCCACACTCAGGCATGGACGGTCTTGACATTTGTGGCGTGGACCTTCGAGTTTGTAACAGTTCCCCTGGAGTTAGCCAGTGAGATCTCCATTTACAATCGCCCTCTTCTTGCATGGTGCCTCATGGTCATTTGGACAATTGACATCTTCCTGAGCTTTCGCACCGGTGTCTATGTTGAGGGGCGTCTTCACATGGACTGCCGAACCATAGCGCGGGAGTATGCCAAGTCATGGCTGCTGCTCGATCTGAGCGTGGTCATCGTCGAGTACGTGGCATTTCTCTCTCACACGCTTACAGCGTCCACAGTCTCCTTACTGCGCAGCTTCCGTTTTTTCCGGCTTGTCAAGATGCTCCGGTTCAAGAGACTGCACTCCATGCTGAACGAGATCCTTTTCGAGCGGGCCAAGGCATCACATACTTTATGTTGATGTATGCTGGTAGGAAGTCTAGTGCTGTTCAGCAAGGACAGTTTGCGAAGTGCTTCGCTGTTTTTTCGCTGCCTTGCTGTTCTGGCAGGTTCTAGCTGTGAACATATCGATGTTCAAGACGTGTTTGGCTTACCTTGCTGGCCTCCACATATTGGCCTGCTTCTGGCTTTTCTTGAGAACGTCCACTGCTCGAGGGAGAGATTACTTTGCGGAGCATGGGGTCGTCATCGGGGAGTTGGCGGACACTGCGCACGCCTACTTCATCTCGGTTCACTGGGCTTTGGACTTCCTCCTGTGGTGTGAGATTGACTTGTTGATTGAGTCGCAAGCAGATCAAGTGTTGGCTGCTGTGGCCCGCTTGATCGGTTTCGTTGGCACCTCCATCTTCCTGGCCAGGATTGCGTTCCTGGTCCAGCAGTTTGTGGACTCGAGGTTGAACAACATGCAAGACCTTTGCAACCACTTCTTGGAAACGCACTCCATCTCCACCGACCTTTCTGTGCGGATGAAGAAGTTCGTGATTTCCTGCTACCAGCAGTCGTGGTTGGAAAGCAGGCTCCAGGAGGACTTCCCTTAACCCATCACCTCTAGGGGTGTGTGTGCTGTGTTGTAGGAGGCCCACGCCTAATAATGTAAACATGGACCCCCCGTACGTGGTTTTGGCGAATTACAATTACTCCCCGGGATGCTGGCCCCTTGATTCATTTTACATTTTTCGGTTTGTCCAGACACAGCACAACGGAGTGCGATAAAGGAGAGAAGAAGACGTTGCATGTGCGACATGCAACCAACCACCTGAAATTATCTCTTGAGGTGAGCGGCGGTTCAAACACATGCAGAGTCATGCAGTGCATGTGTCAGCGTCGTGTTGTAGGTATGTTTTTTGGCTCACTGCAAGGGCGCATGTTTCAGGAGCTGGCGCTGTTCGCGAAGATGCCAAAGGGTTTGCAGACGGAATTGTACGAAGAGTCTCGTGGTCCATATCTTACAAAGTGTTGTTTCATGTTGGAGTTCCAGGACGGGGTTCTCGCGGGAAGCCTTGGGATCTTGCATTCCTGGCATGCATGGGGTGCGTCGTGCAGGACCGTTTTCGCCCCTGCTTTCGGCATATTTGCGCCGAGGGTCTGACAGAGGCACGACGTGTGTCAACAGTAACAGCAATGGCTTTCAGTGAAAGGATGCCCTTTCCAGGTTGTCGCACAACGGCAAGATGTGATATTCACGTCGGGTTACCACGGCGGCGCCATGCTGTGTTTGGTGTCAGGGATGCAACCTGTTGGCAAGGCTGGCAGTTTAGTCTTGAGGGGAATGAATGGCCGCAAAGTGTGTTTTACCTCCTTTGAGGTACAGCTACAAGCTGGCAAGGACTTCTGGCTGTGTGAACTCACAGGTTCTGCAGTGATGTACTGGCTTGAGGCCAAGACACAAGTGTAGTATGCAGTAGTGATCCCTGGGCTGAAGGAAGCACACCTTGTTGGGACACCTGGGGCAGCTGCTGGCCCCAAAAACCTTGAGGGCAAGGCAACTGCCTCTTGGACCTGGACGAGCCGTCTGTGAGATTGCACTTTGGACCAACTGGATTCACACGGGCACGCTGCAGGCCTTGAGTTGTGTGCAAGAAACACTGGTGACAATGAATTGAAGAACAACAACACGACTCATAGAAATGGCAAAAGCCTGCGCGCACCGCCCGGGGTGCAGCATGCGCGTCGCAGATACATGTCATGAGTTCAGGAGGTAGGAGGGCTTCGGGAGGTTTAGGGTGGTCCGAGGAGGGGTCCAGGAGTCAAGGAGGGTCCCAGAAATTCTCCGAGGGGTCCGGTTGCCACGCGGCCCTCGCCCGGGGTCGCCTTTGCGCAGGGAGGGGGATGGTGGTTGTCGTGAAACACCTGTGTGGAGTGGGAGTATGTGGGAGAGACCGATTTTTTCGGTGGCCGGTGCTGGGTACCTGAGCTCCCAACTCTCCTATGGCCCGATCAGGAGTAACGCACTAGTAACTTCAATGTTTTTCCATCCATGTATTGACGTGTGGGTGACGACAACTCTGATCAACTCTGCAAAGCACGCGCGATGGCAAAGTCGGGCAGGTTCTCCAGAGCGGCTATTACTACATCGTGTCGGCAGATGTGCTTGGCAACATCATCGCGGCGTACCCAGAAGCTCACCGCACCGCCACCGCGTATGGGCGGCTCGTGGTGATTCAACTGCATCACGTGCGCAATGATTGCACGGACCTCACACCCCTAGAGATCGACTTCGCAGCTCTGCGAAAGGCCGGCGTTTGCCACACAATACTTGGCACGGGGGGGAGGAAGCATTTGGGCTTGGCAGGTCACAGTCAAATTCTTGACGGAGGGTCACATGGTGTTTCTGTCGCACTTCAAGAAGGACAACATTCTCAGCTGAGCACGTTTTCATGTTACCTTGCTACTAGACTTTTCCCTTCACTTTTCAGGTCTTTTTCGTGTCATGGTTGCAGGATCTGTGCCGCATGTGAGTTAGCAATGTCCAGAGTCCAAGCCCCATGTTTCAAACCTGAAGCATTTCGTTTGTGTCTTCAAAGCGATCAGCCGCGCACGAGCCCAGCGCACCGCAACGATTGCGGAGCAGAGGGAGGCATGTCTGTGTAAGAGGCGCCCAGCTCATAGGCCCGAGACAAGCCGCCGCAGGAAGCGGGAACGGAGGCGGCACTCATGCAAGATGCCTTGACGCCGGGGGCCTTAGAGGAGATCTCAGTGCCCAGAGCAGGAGATTTCGGAATATCTGGCTGCCTTGCCTCTGAGTGTCCAAGGAACAAAATCCAAACAGACCCACATCATCCCGCGCACTATCTTGAACATCCCGTTTTCCTGGATTCGGAGACTTGGCACATCAGGGCAGTGAGGCATATCGGCTTGCGCGTCTTGCGGCGCGATACCTCACTCACAGCTACAAACCGAAACCCTAAACCCTAAACCCTAAACCCTAAACCCTAAACCCTAAACCCAGAACCCTAAACCCTAAACCCTGAACCCTAAACCCTAAACCCTAAACCCTAAACCCTAAACCCTAATACAGCCGACCTTGCACCCCGCATTGCCGTGGCTAGTCGGGTGGCAAAAAAATACAGCCGAGGAGAATTTGGAAGATCTTACAAAGCTGAGGGATCATATCCAAAAGAGCCGTAACATGGTGATCCTGCTGACGCCGGGTATCTTTGAGCGGCCCTGGTGCTTGGTAGAGATCGTTTCAGTGGCCTGGCAAGTCTCAGTGGCTGCTTTCCCTACGACCTTTTGTCATGGCAGCCGAAAAAGCAAAGCATCTGGCTTCGAGGCATTCAAGCAAAACAAGAATATCGCCCTGGCCTCAACACGTGTTCATGAGAGAGCTGCGATGAGCACCTCGAGTTGGTGAAGTGAGTGTAGATGGGAAGTTCATCTGCCATCCTCAGCTTCCAGGTTCCGGTGGAGATTCAGAAGCCTGACATGAAATTCGAGTATCCAGACGAGGCCTGCCAAGGGTGCTGAGGAAGTAGAGGAAGTGCGTTGCGGCACCTCGAAGCTCCAAGTTTGCGTCGCCAGGACTTCCTGGCGTATCTTTGCAGCGGTGGCTTCTTCACAGAGACCGCCCCGCTTCAGCACTTGGACCCGTCACAGAGTTCACATGGTTTGGTGAGTCGGAGGGTGCAGGATCAAGGCTTCTTAAGGGCCACCAGAGGAGATAAGGTGCTGAGCCAGTGGCCATGTCGGCTAGAGGGAGGGTAAGGCGTGGCCGAACCCGTGGTGTTTCAAGGATATGCAAATCTTCGCCGTCGAGCAGATCGAGCTGAGCGAGATCGAGGCTGCCCTGGACATAGATTTTTTTCCGACAAACTTTTCCCTAAACCCTAAACCCTAAACCCTAAACCCTAAACCCTGGTGGGAAAAGAACCCTAAACCCTAAACCCTAAACCCCAAACCCTAAACCCTAAACCCTAAACCCCAAACCCTAAACCCCAAACCCTGGGACCCTAAACCACTTTGTCCACCTGGCTTCCACAGGCCGCCGTTCGACACATCCTCACCAAGATTTCTGTCACTTTCTCACCTCACAAAGCGAGTTGCTTCGGCGGCGCTTGGAGCTGGCAGGAGCTGTGCAGTGTGTATTTATATATGTATATATATATATATACATATGTATGTATATATAATCCCTTAAAGGGTGTGTGTGTATATATATACACATTATCCCTTAAAAGGTATACATATATATATATATATACACATGCTCCCTTAAAGGGCAGATAGCTGTGCTATGAGAGTGTGTGAAGGCATGGAAGGCGCATGGAAGGCGCATGGAAGGCGATGAAAGGCGCATGGAAGGCGCATGGAAGGCGCATGGACGGCGCAAGCTGAGGCTCCATCCGGGATGTGGAGATCAGGACCATCCTGCAGAGATGTAACATGTAGAGAGACGTTACTTCCGTGTTACACTTCCTTTATAGAACCCCCCGAAGCGGGGTTCCTTGCAAATGCCACGAGCCATTGCTCGTTTCTGTGGACCCAACTGCTCTTCTACGGGCAGTGGCTGACCTCGGCGTATGTGTGTTTGATGTAATGAGCGGATCAGATAGGTGCTTGTGTGATGAGCCTGCATATGCTCTAGGAGGTATGCCTTGTTATGACAGCTTACGCTTGCGAGATGTGTCGCAGCTTGCGCTTGAATGATTGCATTTCCATCCTTCCTAAAGGGAAGGAAAGGTTTGCTTGTTCACCCGTTCGCCATTTTTAACAGATGACGCCATGTCTCTATGATATTCGATGTCTGTATGAGCACCCTTTCTCCAACTACTTTCGGCTTGTTTTTTGGTTGCTGCGTCCATTGGCGCCCAGACCGCACGTGTGCGAGTGTCTCCATATCCTTGGCCGCCTCCACCCATGATGTCCATTTCTGCATTCGAGTCGTTTGGATGTTGGCAAGCGCAGAATTGGCGGCCATTTCAGACACTCTCCCTCCCAGATCTGTTTCATAGTATCGACGTCCCGCGGCACTCGTCTTCTGCGAACTTTGGCCGGTAGACGAGATGACCTCGAGAGTCGAGTCAGGCCGGACGTGCTTACATCCATACACATCCTTGACCTTCGTAGTTCTAGCTCACAACCTTGGACTTGTGGACGAGAAAGGCCGTTTTGTGTGCACGCTGGCTTCAAAGCGTGGAGAGGGGCGACGGAGAGAGTGTTTCATTGAATGCGGCCCGAAAGCTCTAGCACGGCTCAAGCAACCATGGCGCTTAAAATCTCCACTGGCAGTGCCCAGCTTCCTGAGCTTCCAGGCTGGAACGGGAGATCGGCTTCAGCTGCTTAAGGGCTTACGGGGATCGGCTTCGGTTAGATGCGCTGTTGGTAAGCAGCCGTCTCCAGGCCAGACAGACCGCTGTCAGCAAGGCACGTGACTTGGTCCTTTGCAGCTTCAGGGTTTAGGGTTTAGGGTTTAGCGCCAAGAAAGCTCCTCGGTCGCCACACATCTATCCATCTGGTCAGGCCACAGGGCAATATCATGCTTTTCATTCTGTTGTTTCAATTTGTTGTTTGTTCTGCAATCTGTGCTGAAGCACTGTCAGTGCTTTCGTCCCGATGCAGGCGCTGCTGTTCCAATTAGGCCTGCTCCCAAGGTTCTCGCTGCTCTTGCTACCATATGTTCTGCTGCGTTTATGAAAGAAGAAGCTAGGGCGAGCACTCTTTGCAGTTCTTTCTGTGTAATTCTGGTCTGCTGCCCATGCTCAAGCCATCTTACAAGCGTGGGCATGTCCCAGTGCTCGGGCTGGGAAAAGATGTCGAGGCAGGGTGCGAACTGGTGAATCTCGGTTTCCTGTCATGCTCCAGGGAGGTTGGGGCAGGAAGTGTGGGGGGCCGCGCTTTCAAATTCCAGGCTGGTATGATACCCATCCTATGCTCGCGGTGCAGGGTGTCTCTTGGCTGAAGGTTGCTGGGCCGTCTCCTCCTACACTGTTGCACTGAGTATTGCCGATCATCATGCCGAGGAGATGGTCGGGGCCGAGAAGTTGCCAAGGCAAGGCCCCATGAGGCTTTCGGTTGTAGGGCTGTAGGGTTTAGGGTTCAGGAAGAAGGGTTCCGGGTTTAGCGTTTAGGGCTTAAGGTTCGGGTGTAATAACCCCCCCCCCCCCAGATTTTAGTTTTGGTTTCCGGGGTTTTGAGGATGGAGAAACAAGAGGGGGCTGGGGGTCTGGGGGGCGGGGTCAGCTGTCAAGAAGGGTCTGCGGCTTGTTTTCAAGCCGAAGGCTGAGATCTTAAGCTTAAGGGATCCTTGTCTTAAGCCTTAGGCCAGGACCCGAAGGCTGAAGTCTTAAGCTTAAGGGATTCTTATCTTGAGCCTTAGAGGCAGCCTTTCAAACTTGAGGCTTCCTTGGTTTTCCCCCCCCCCCCCCCCCCCGTCTCTGAAATTATTGCCACTCCTTTGTTATATTGTCATTTTGGAGGCCCGTAAGGGTACCCTTTCCGGAAATGTTTTCGGGCCCCGGCGAATAAGGAAATAGCTTTGAGACCTCTGAATTCCAGGACCCGAAGGCGGAAGCTTTAAGCTTGAGGCATTCTTGTCTTAAGCCTTAGACCAGGACCCGAAGGCTGAAGTCTGAAGCTTGAAGGGATTCATAGGACCCCCCTTATATGGGTTTGCTTACACACATCAGCCCGAAACCTCCCGTGATGGAAAGTAGTCTTGGGCACGGGCCCTCTGTCCCACCGCATATTTTGCAATTACCACTCCATTTAAAATTGTGACGTTTACATTAGGGTTTAGGGTTTAGGGTTTAGGGTTTAAGGGTTTCTTGAAGCAGCAATGGGAGCAGCAGCATCACCACAACGACCACCCACGCAAACAGTACAAACAAGAAGGAGGAGGCGGAGAAGATCAACTAGCCTGGCCCTTGCCCGAGGATGACGACACGCACTAGCTGTGTTTTTGTTCGATCAATTGTTGGCGATTTCTTTTTTGGGGTTGGTGTGGGTAGTAGGAGGACCTCTATCTTCTCTCTCTCTCTCTCTCTCTCTCTCTCTCTCTCTCTCTCTGTCTTTTTAAGAGGAACACCTCGATTTTTCTCTATTTTAGGAAAAAGGCTTTATTTGCTTTATTTTGACAGGAAAACCTGTGTTTCTCTATTTTTTGCCAGGAAAACCTCCACATCCCCGAAGAGAGAGGGTCTGGGGCTGGGGAGGGTCGAGGAAGAAGAGGACAGAAAGAAAGAGACAAAGAATGAAGGAAAGAAAGAAAAGAAGGAAGGAAGGAAGAAAGGAAGAAAGGAAGAAAGGAAGAAAGGAAGAAAGGAAGAAAGGAAGAAAGGAAGAAAGGAAGAAAGGAAGAAGGGAAGAAGAGAAGAAGGGAAGAAGGGAAGAAGGGAAGAAGGGAAGAAGGGAAGGAGGGAAGAAGGGAAGAAGGGAAGAAGGGAAGGAGGGAAGAAGGGAAGAAGGGAAGAAGGGAAGAAGGGAAGAAGGGAAGAAGGGAAGAAGGGAAGAAGGGAAGAAGGGAAGAAGGGAAGAAGGGAAGAAGGGAAGAAGGGAAGAAAGGAAGGAAGGAAGGAAGGAAGGAAGGAAGGAAGGAAGGAAGGAAGGAAGGAAGGAACGAAGAACCGAAGCACAGACGAAAGAAAGAAAAAAATGAAACAAATAAATAAAAGAAAGAACAACATAATGAAAAGATTTACAGAAATAAAGAAACAAAGAATGGAACAATATTTTACCGTTTCAAACCCGTCCTGCGAGCATTTTGTTTTGCAATTGGCGGGGGGGGGGGGAGGGGGCAGGGGGGGGGGGGGGTTCGCCTCCCCCCCCTTCAAAACTTCATGACCAGAAGAGAACTTGCTGTAACAGCGTCGGAATGCTTTAGCCAAGGACATTTATTAAATTACTGCGAATCCCATGAAAATGAATCGGAAACTTATTGAACTACAGAGGCAATAGAGTTTCTCCAAGGGAAAAACCATTAAAATACAGAGGACATAGAGTTTTTCCTTTAGGAAAACCAAGGAAATCACCAAAAGCAAGTGCGCGAAAAAAGAATTCACCACCCCATAGTTCGTCCCCGAGAACCCCCAAAACCTTAGAAAACCCTAAACGAAAAGCCGTAGACCCTACAAAGCCTAAACCCTAAACCCGAGACCCTCAAACCCTAGAAACCCTAAACCCTAAACCCTAAACCCTGAACCCGAAACCCTAAACCCTAAACCCTAAACCCTATAAAGCCTCACGTGGCTGCAGGTGCCTTGCAAGCCCGAAGTCCGCTGCACAAGCGCTGCGCGAGCTTGCGAGGCAGAAGTCCTGGAGCTCAGCACTTCAGGCCAGGGTTTAGGGTTTAGGGTTTAGGGTTTAGGGTTTAGGGTTTAGGGTTTAGGGTTTAGGGTTTAGGGTTTAGGGTTTAGGTTTAGGATGTAGGGTTCAGGGTTCAGGGTTGAAGGTTGCGGGTTCAGGGTTCAGGGTTGAGGGTTTAGGGTGGGCTCGTCGACTGGAAGTACTAACACGGTAGTGCCAGTCCGTCAGGGTCTAACTCGGCGAGGACAGCAGCAAGTCTGATTCAAAACGGGTTTAGGTCGCAAAGTCGAAAAAGAAGTTAAGGTTTAGGGTTTAGCAAAAAGGGATGTTTAGGGTGCAGGGTGAAGTGCGCATTGACGATGTGGTCTGCATCGAACTGCGCCTATTCGAAGACTCTACGGTGGGCTATACGCCCACGACCTGTTCCTCATCATGCCGTTGAGGGTCTCAAGCTGCCTCAAGAAGTTGTGCGTGATTCCTTTTCGTTGGCGCCTGGTCGATAGCAGTCAGCAGAGCTGCTTACTGCGTTCTGGTGTTGTCGTGAGTCCAGAACGCGAAAAGGGTGTAGGGTGAGAAAAGCAAGAATGAGCCGGGATGTTGCTGGACATGGGCATCCGGCTTTGGACCTACACCATTGCCCAGGCCGTGCGCGCCCGTATGCTAGCAGACATCTTCCCAACTGTGCGACGCATGATGGCTTGGAGCAATGGACGACACGATGCAAGTGTCTACTGCCGTGACTCTGAAGGCGTGAGAAGCCATGGAAGCCCCTCAATTCCTGCGGCCGGAATCGCTCGCAAGGCCGCGGTGCCGGGTCTTGCTCACGACGAGGGATCAAATTTTTGGCAAAGGCCTTCCAGGCGAAATCCACATTGCCTCATGGCGAGCGTGTCAAGAAGAGAGAGACGTGCTGGAGTGCAAGTGGGAGTCCGCAGTCCAGCGCGCCTTTCACAGTTCCAGTGATGTGGAGAATTTGTTGTTGATGAACAGGCGTGGCCTGAAATCCTTCCTTAGGCCTTGGTGGCCTTTGTTCGGTCACGCGTGCTGCAGGAAAGACTGAGTGCTCAGGTGGGATCCAAGTTGCAGAATCTTTGGTCCCTTTTGTGCCAGTGTAGCCAAGCTCGAAAATGATCTCGAGCGCCGAGCGCAAGGCAACCTTAAGTGAGGAAGCTCACCGGGAGCCTTGTGATAATGATAACTCGTATGCTGGGGTCACGGCTGAAGCCTGTTGCAAAGGGTTTGGTTGAAGAGAGCTGTCTTAAGTTTTAGTCTGCAAGTCCAGTTGTAGAAGGTGTTTAATCAGAAGATGTCAAAAGGGTTTGGGGAAATGTTAGGTTCGAGAGGCCTCGTGACGGTTCGAGGTTCGGCGCGAATGCTTTCTTTTTTTGGTCGATATTTTTCAGTCTCTTGTGCATCTGTACAACCATGATTTGTGTAAATTGGATCTACTGGGCATGGACCTCTGCCAACATTTGCGGCTCTTGCAATCCTCCGCTTGCACATGAACAGGGTTTCCATCTGGTAGGGTTTAGGGTTTAGGGTTTAGGGTTTAGGGTTTAGGGTTTAGGGTTTAGGCTTTAGGGTTTAGGGATTAGGGATTAGGGATTTAGGGTTTGTACCCACTGCCAACAGGCTCTTGAGGCTATGGAGGGTGCGGGCGTTGAGGTGAATGTCTTCCACTTGAGCATCGCCCGGCCCTGAGTGCAAGTTTAGGGTTTAGGGTTTAGGGTTCAGGGGGGTCCCATTCAATCGCATCTTAGAATCTTGAGAGGATCCAAAAAGTAGATCCCTCTAGGGGGTTCCCAAGAATTGAGGGAACCACTTGGGGGTTTCTACTTTGGCGGGATCCTTCCGGGGGCTCTGCGTTCGTGTCAGCATGACTTGAGGTCATGAGCGCTTGTGAGAAAGCCTCGGCCTGGCGGGAATCCTTGGGCTTGTTCTTCGGAAGCCGCACAAAGGCACCTGAGCTACGGTTGCGGTTTAGGGTTTAGGGTTTGGGGTTTAGGGTTTGGGGTTTGGGGTTTAGGGTTTAGGGTTTAGGGTTCAGGGTTTAGGGTTTGAGCCAGGCGAAGTACGAAGCCTGTTGCAAAAGGGTTTAGGGTTTAGGGTTTCGTCGAAGGCCCTTCCCAGCTGACTTCCGGAGTCTGGGTTCAAAAAAAGGTGTTGGGTTTCGGGTTTAGGGTTTAGGGTTTAGGGTTTAGGGTTTAGGGTTTAGGGTTTAGGGTTTAGGGTTTAGGGTTCAGCAACAAGGGTTTAGGGTTTAAGAATGGGGGGTTTGGGTACAGAGCAGGATTTCAAGAAAAAAGCCTACACCAGACATGTTGGGTTTGAGAGTATAGAGGAGTGCTTGCAAAGGATCTGGACACCGTGTGCTTTAACTCGGCCATCAGCGCCTGTGGGAGATGTCGCCTGGCAGCACCCTCCTCACGTGTCCTCACATCAGATGGGTAGCAGGCCATTCAAGGGCGCCCTCGGCATGACATTTCGCCCTGACCCAAGATGTCAAATTGTAGCACTGGCTGCCATGCACTTTTCTTCTGACAGCCCCTGCGAATGTTCTAGACCGTCGCACCTGGATATTGAGCCCAAGAAACGGGAAACTTTCAGCACAGGCGCGCACTGGGAATGTGCCTTGGAGCTGCTCGACATGCTGTGTGGAAGCTTTCAGCCCAACACCATCAGTCACTTGGGCCTTATTGGCCTCATCGGAAGTTGGTTGATACAGAGAGTCGCTCAGGCTACAACGCTGCCATCAGCGCCTGCGGCAAATCCAGCTGCTGGACAAGGGCACTTGGGACCTTTGCAGACATGCAGAGTGCGAGGAGCCGTTCGCCGTGCTGCAAGTGTCGGAAGAACTGGGCCTTGCAAGAGTGCGAGCGCTTTTTGCATGCAGGATTGACAAAGACCGAATCAGCGACTTAGCTGCAGAGAGTTCAAAGGCTCCCTCCCTCGTTTGCCTTGTCTCAGTTTTGTCTCCTTTTCTGTCTCCTTCTCCTCATCTCCATCTCTCTAGCCCTTACCATGCCTCTGTCCATAGAACATCATGGTCAAGGCCAGCGGACTTCGCCTTGATGTGTACAGTTATTCAGTGCAGCCATAAATAAGTAAAGGCATATAAAGGGAATTGCCTATATGGGGTTTCTTATAACGGGGTAGAATCCCCTTGAAAAAGGACCCCCAGAGGCTAGCCCTGTAATCGTAGGTTCTTTAGGAATGTCGGGAGCTTCGGACGTCAACCGATCGGGGAGACCCTTTGCAAAGAACAAATGCGTAAAAGTTGGAAAAGTTTTCTTGAAATTCAGCCCGCATGGCCCACTCCAAGTTCGTGTTTCCTCTGCATGTTCCACACAATGAGGTTTGGCGCGTTTTCTGATGCAGCGCCTTTCTAACCTTCCCACTTTCTGCTGTATATCGTGCGTTCTAACGCAGTTTGCAGACTTCTCTCCTTGCTGCGACAGGCCACAATGCCGCCATCAGTGCGTGTGAAAAAGCGGGGGAGTGGGACCGAGCCCTGACTCTGCTCTCGCGCATGGGCCAAGAGCAGCTGGCCCCAGACGTCGTGAGTGCCGCGGTGGCAGAGACTCCTGTGACAAACAAGGGTGTGTAGGGTTGAGGGTGTCGGGTTTAGGGTTTAGGATTTAGGGGTTAGGGTCTAGGCCGGCTGGCTGCAGAGACCTGGTTGCAAAAGGGTTTAGGGTGTAGTGACCATCCTGCTTTCACTGCCGTCCATTTCGTCTTCAGGCTACGGTGCGACAATCAGCGCCTGTGAGAAGGGAAGTCAGTGGCAGCCAGCCTTGGCAGTCTTGCGCTGCATGTTGCAAGACCGCAGTGCGCCTTCCGACATTTGTTGCGTGGCGGACTCTCCCCTAAACCCCAAACCCTAAACCCTAAACCCTAAACCCCAAACCCTAAACCCTAAACCCTTTTGGACCCAGACTCCTGAAGTCCCTAAACCCTAAACCCTAAACCCTCAACTCTAACCCCCCAGCACGAGCGGCTTTGATCGGCTCAAGCCGAGGCTGGAACGCGGCAATCAGTGCGTGCGAGTGCCATCGGTGGAATTCATCCATTTGCCCATTTGCTTTGTGGAGACGTGCCATTTTGCCTACTGAACCCCCAGACATGTGCGCATAAGGAAGTGCGAGCAGTGGCAGCGTGCCTTGGTCCTCTTGCTTCTGAGCTGAAGTTAGGGTTTTGGATTCAGGATCCAGGGTTTAGTTTAGGGTTCAGGCTTTCGGCTTTAGGGTTCAGGGTTTACTATTCTGCTGCGATGCTGCTGCCCTGTCTGCCCCCGCAACGCCATGCAGTATCGTGGAGGTTTACTCAGATGTGCCTTTCGGTTTGGCTGAGGTACTTAATGCCTGCTATGGCGCTGACACCAGATGTTGTGAGCTGCTTTGCTGAATGGGCTGTATCCGGGAATCGAATCGCGTTGTCGGAAGGCGCTTTGAGTATCGCCTTCTCCTAAGCCCTAAGCCCTTTTAGAACCCGGACTCTTTACTGCTCTAAACCCTAAACCCTAAACCCTAAACCCTAAACCCTAAACCCTAAACCCTAAACCCTAAACCCTAAACCCTAAACCCAAGGCCCTAAACCCTAAACCCTAAACCCTAAACCCTAAATTGCTGGCTTTTCATCTGTAAAACAGGCTTCAATGCTGCAATCAGTGCATGTGAGAAAACCGGGCGCTGGGAGCAAGCTTTGGTGCTTCTGTGGCATGGCTCAATACGGCTCATCTGGCTCCTGCGCTCTTTTCGGGTTTTAGGGTTTGGGTTTAGGGTTTAGGGTTTAGGGTTTAGGGTTTAGGGTTTAGGGTTTAGGGTTTAGGGTTTAGGGTTTAGGGTTTAGGGTTTAGGGTTAGAGAATCTGGTGATGCCCGGCGTGAGATCTGGATGCAAAAGGGTTTAGGGTTTAGGGTTTCTCAGAAGGACCCGGCTGACTGCAAGAGACCTAAAGGGTTTCAGGTTTAGGGTTTAGGGTTTTTCTGCACCAGCCAGTCGCATTCAGTGCACAGCACCGTGATGCCGGTTGGCGCAAGGCGTGCTGCTCCTCGGGCAGGGGTCATCACATTCAACGCAGCCATCAGCGCCTGTGAGCAGCTGTTCCGCATCATGCCACAGAATCTGCCAGGGGCCCAAAAACCACATAAACATAAGGATCCTACTATTGGGGTATAAGGGCCCCCAGAAGGGGGTTTCCGAAAAATCCTGTTTGTAGGAACCTTATGTTTATGTGGTGTTTTGGGGTCCCTGGCTGCTTGAATATTGGGTTTTACGAGAACAAGGGACCCCAACATAGACCCCCAAATAGTAGGATTACCTCATCATAAGGACCTTAAAAAAGGTACCCCGAATTTCGGAAACCCCGCAATACCCTACTTTCAAGTTTCGCTCCGCAATGTTTGCCACCTCGCCTTGCACCAGTGCGCAGCCGTCGTCATCACAGTCCACCAGCTGGTACAGTCTGACGACGCAGCTTTACCTTTTAAACTCCAGTGTCCGACTCAGTGTCCTGTGCACCTTAGTGGGTTACTCAAAGGCCGCACCTTTGCACAGCCATGGCGCCTCCCCGCCGCTGTCTGCTGCCGCTCACCGTGGCCGTTGCGGCCATTGCCGTCTTGCGCAGCACGGCCTTCTGCTGGATCTCTGGCCCGACCCTCACCCTCTCCCGGCGTCCAAGCTCTTTGTCGCAGGTGTGCCGTCAGGTGCCCCGTGTGCTTTTGTGTGGGGAGGGTTTGGAATGCTACTTGTTTTGGCAAGAGTTGCATGTGAGTCATACCCTGGTCCCGACAGGCCGTTGATCCAGGTGATTGCAAGGCCGTGCGCAGCAACGCAGTTAATGGAGTGGTCCTGCCTGACATGGACGCGGATGAGCCTGCTTGGCTTTCCTTTGTGATCTCTCGCTACTTGGATGAGGCTGGGCGCCTAGACCACTGTCTGCTAGATGGCTATATGTATCCAGACCTCAGGAGCTTTAAGCACACATCGCCAGGAGTGGATTGAGCAACCGGTGCACAAAGAGATCGGGGATGCTGTCGCAAAAATCTACTCACAGGCACGTAACGAAGGCGCCGCTGCAGCAGGAGGATGGTTTAGGGTTTAGGGTTTAGGGTTCGGGGTTTAGGGTTTAGGGCTTAGGGTTTCAGAAGCGGCAGCCAGCAGAAGTCCCAACAGATGTGCTGAAAGTTCGACTCAGAAACCGGTGCAGGTGACAATGACCTTGTTGCCGTCCTGGCGACACTGTCCTATGGCTTGAAGGACGATTGCGGAGTGCCATCTCCGAGAGACAGGGAGGGAAGAGAAGACAAGGAAGAGAAGAAGAAGAAGAAGGAGAAGGAGAAGGAGAAGGAGAAGGAGAAGGAGAAGGAGAAGGAGAAGGAGAAGGAGAAGGAGAAGGAGAAGGAGAAGGAGAAGGAGAAGGAGAAGGAGAAGGAGAAGGAGAAGGAGAAGGAGAAGGAGAAGGAGAAGGAGAAGAAGGAGAATAATCAGAAGAAGAAGAAGGAGGAGAAGAAGAAGAATAATCATCAGAATATGAACAAGAAGAAGAAGACGAAGAAGACGAAGCAGAAGAACCAATGATGACCATCGTGCTTCTTGCCCAAGGGGCACCCGCCCCTCCTGATGGCTCCTTGCAACCTCCTCAGACCGATGCCGGTACAGACCAACCCTGCGACATGGGTGGGTGGGGGGGATGGAACTCAGCAAGACGAGACATCCTGCAGCTTAGGGTTTAGGGTTTAGGGTTTAGGGTTTAGGGTTTAGCAAAAAAGGGTTTAGTGTTTAGCCTGCGGCCTGCGCATTTGGGGCGGCGAAGGGCAGGGAAGGGTGGGCAGCGGGCAGCGTTTCCAGTCACAGGAGTAGCCGGGACACGCACTCGATGTCTGAATTTGCTGCGAAGCAACCCTCGTTCCTCATCAAAATCCTGTTTCGAACCTATCGTGTTAAGCTTCTGGTCCTTTCCAGGTCTCTTTTTTATACGATTCCTCACCCGCTGCGCGGGGGGCCGCGTTGATCCTTACCCGCTTCCTTCGCTTCCGCGCCTCCCTACGCTGTTTACACTGAGCCGCGGAGAGTGGTCCTTGCCGGGGCCCGAGCCCCCTTGGGTCCCTGCTCTAATACCGGGAGCAGGGAGCTCTTGCGTCCGACCTTGGGGGGCATATATACACAAGTTGCTGCTTGTCCAGATTGTCTTGCCCAGCGACTCTGATCATACAACTCGCCCCCAAGTCTGTGCAGCAGTGGCGGAGGCAGGCTTGACAAATGCCGGGGTTGTTGCAGTGCCTGCTGGCCGACAAGTAGCTTTCAAGCTATGTGTCTTGCAGGCGTGCTTATAAAATGAGAGCTAGAGCGTGCCCCGGGCAATGACACTCCTGTACTGGACATGTCTCCGTTTTTCACAGGAATGCGAGGGAACGCTTCAGGGGGAGTAGCAGTTGACAGGCAATTCATGCTCATCAGTCATCTTATCAGAATCTGTGACACTCTCCATTCAGGACATGTGGAATTCAGCTGGCTTCACGGAAGCCTTCGAAGGCCCCGTGGACGTTGCGAACCGCGTGGCCGAACTTTTGATGCTGCGGATGGGCATCTTGGTTGAGACAGTAGTGGCATGGGTTGCAAGTTGAACCCTAAACCCTAAACCCTAGACCCTAGACCCTAAACCCTAAACCCTAAACCCTAAACCCTAAACCCTAAACCTTAAACCCTAAACCCTAAACCCTAAACCTTAAACCCTAAACCCTAAACCCTAAACCCTAAGCAGCTCGCTGCATTTCCTGGGCAAGGCGGAGAGGTGTGGAGCTACGGCCGCAGCAACTCCGATGTGCAGAAGAAGATGATGAAACGCCTCGATGAGTACGAAGAGGCGGCATGTCTGTTGTTGTGCTGGTGTCAGACCCTTGACTCCCTAGAACCCATGTGGGAAAATATACATTTATATATACAGATGTGTATGTATATATATATATATATGTATATATATTTTTTGACATGTGGTAGGGAAGATAGACCGCCAACCTGCAAAGCCCCGCAGGTCAGGCAGCAGCTGAAGGCCGCTGTTGAGTAGGCTGAGTAGGCGGCCCCCGCCAGCACATGGAAGGCGCAGAGACAATACCCGCATGATTATGAGAACAGTCCCAGGGTCGACGTGGTGTTGGAGTGTAGGTTTGCACGTCTTGGCACTGTTGGGTCCAGATGTGTCATATTTGCCGACACTTTCCTCGGTATGGCAGTGTGCTTGGAGGTTCATGGTACTTATGAACCTACTTAGAACCCACTTCTAAGCCCCTTAAGTGGTGGACGCCCACCCTGGGAAGCCTGAACTGCCGGTTTTTTTCAAGAGCAGTTCATCGTTGGCTTCAACCAATTCCATCGCCAACGTGACCACAGCCCAGCTCGGATCCTCGGAGCCTTCTTCGGATCCTTGGAGCCTGGGGACATCGGCTTGCGCTGGCCCCCGAGCTTCGAATACTTGAGCTTGGGCGCCCGCTTTTCCTTCTTCGGCGGCGCTTTTGCATGTCTGAGGTCAGCAGGCACTGGGCTGTTGTTGTCATGGCTTATGTGTTACAAGCATGGACCCCATATGGGCTCGGAGCTGACTCAGACTTTCCCAAGCGTTGCCCAGCAGATGGGTGTCCCTGTGGGCCCCGACTGAGCTAGACCCGAATGTCGCGGCAAGACCGTGGCAAAAAGGCATGGCTTTCTGAGTTTCTGGACGTATTCAGGGAGCAACGGATCTTGAAATTAAGTGGCTTTAAAGAAATTCATTGAAACCGAGGAAGGGTGATCGCTGGCAGCAAGCGCTCGGGCTGCTGGAAGTCATGCCCGCCGCTTGCCTCTGCCTTGAGCATTCTTCATCCTGACTTCCTTCGCTTTGACGCTTTGCACCTGAGATCGACACCCAAGGAGTGGAGCGTCCGCCGTGACGTCATCAGCTACAACTCCGTGCTGGCGGCATTGAAGCGTTCTGGCCAGTGGGAGAACACCCTCCACATCATGCAGCAGATGCGTGCAGCTAGTGTGCCGCTGAGAACATCGACATTTGCCAGGGACCCAGCCGGCCTCCATAGATTCTTTTTGGGCGGGCCGAGAGTCCAGGGCGTGTTCAGACATTGCTGTACTGCAGTTATGATGCTGTTATTCGTTGATACATGAGTATATTTTGACTTTAATAGTTGATTAGATTTTTCCTTCGTGTTTCTATATTGTTTTTTGGCATGTTGCTATATCTTTATATCAGAGTATCATCCTGTTCTCATAGGTGTACATTGCTGTATTATTGTATTAGTATATGCTTGTATTACTGACTCCTTGCATCATCATGTTTTATGTTGTTCTGTATTGCTGTAGTAGGGTTTAGGGTTTAGGGCTTAGGGTTTAGGGTCTAGGGTTTATGCTTCACAGCATGGACCCCCGCCAGTAGCTGCAGAGACCATCCTGGGGGAGAGAAGGGAACGGCGGTGCGGGCTAGGAGTGCCCACCTTACAAGCACACGGTCACCCCTAAACCCTAAACCTTAAACCCTAAACCCTAAACCCTAAACCCTAAACCCTAAACCCTAAACCCTAAACCCTAAACCCTAAACCCTAAACCCCCAACCCTAAACCCTAAACCCTCAACCCTGAACCCTGAACCCTAAACCCTAAACCCCAAACCCCAAACCTCCTAAACCCGAAACCCGAAACCCTAAACCCTAAACCCTAAACCGTAAACCCTAAACCCTAACCCTAGGCAGGGAAGCCCGAAACAGGGAAGCCCTAACGTCGAATGGCTGGCTGAGCTCTGAGCGATGGGTTCCGGCGCGGGCGTCATGGCGGACGAGGCGTCCTCAGAGAGCTCCAAGACCAGCAGGAACAGCGCCAGTATGCCTCCAAAGGAGGTGGGGGTGATTCTTGTAGGGTTTAGGGTTTAGGGTTAGGGTTTAGGGTTTAGGGTTTAGGGTTTAGGGTTTAGGGTTTAGGGTTTAGGGTTTAGGGTTTTGGGGCTTAGGGTTCAGAGGTTTTCGGAAACATCTTGGCGTGGCCAGGACCCTGCAAACCTCGAGGTGCTCACTCTCCAGGTGTGCCAGATGTCCGGGAAAGAGCTGCTCAGCCCCTAATATAGGGGTCGGAAAAATTACTTATGTTACTTTCTTATGGTCAATTTATATTTCTACTATAAGAAACACCGAAGAAGCCGAGTCCAATTATTAAGGCCCCTATATTACAGTATTGGCAGTGTAGGTGGTCAAAGGTGTTTTCCATTAGGCTTGCGAAGCTCTTCCACGATTCCTACGATTCCTGAGGCTGGACCCAGTGCGCATTGTGGCCAAGGAGACTGTGTCCTTTCTTTGCAGAGAAGTTCTGCAACAGCTGTCGGTGCAGCGCATCAGTTTGTTGCACGATGGGAGGCTTGGTAGAGACCGGAGAATGCTTATGGGGAAACCCTAAACCCCAAAACCCGAAACCCTAAACCCTAGACCCTAAACCCTAAACCCTACACCCTAAACCCTAAACCCTCTTCGGTGCTGGCTCACTGCCACAGCGGTCGTTGCTTTGCAAGATCTTCCTTTGCAGTGTGTAAGGAAACTTCTCCCCATGCAAGAGACGGTCGGATCCTGCTTAAAAGACGGGGATATGGTGAACGTCCTCGTGCGGCCCAACGCCCTCCTGCTACAGCAGGCGCTGGCAGCCAGGGAGTCAAGACATGGAAGGGAGGTGGGTTTAGAATTTAGGGTTTAGGGTTTGGGGTTTAGGGTTTAGGGTTAAGGGTTTACTTTTACGGTTTAGGGTTGCCTGAGAGAGGAGAGAGGGTTTAGGGTTTAGGGTTTAGGTGGTAGTCCAGTTGCAAAAGGGTGGTGGAATGCAAAGTCAAAGCAATGCATCAAAAGGGTCCAAGGTGAGGCCTTTGAGGCTGGGGGGAGTCCAAAGTAGGTCGACCTCGACACGGGCCTGGAAACCCAGCTGCTCGATGGCGCACGTGTCGACCTGAGAGGGTGCGAACGTTGGGGGCCTTGCCCCCTGTGTTTCATACATGGTGGTTTCCGAAACAAGGGAATCCTGCTACTACATGGGCGTCTACTTTAGGGTCCCCTATTTCGTAAACCCCCCACATCGCAGAAATCCCCCGTGTGCTGTATTGTGTGATGTGGCAGTGGCGTGCCAAAGGATGGAAGGGGGAGACGCTGGTCCTGGGAAGGGTGCTGTCCTGCGCTTCGCCGGGCTGGGACGTGGTGCCCGACATGGAGACCAACTTTGCCGTGGAGGCAACTGTGAAGCTGAACGTGTGGCCTCAGCCTGACTGGCGAGGCAGGGTGCCAGGGTGGAGGATAGGGGTTGGCATGTTCCCCCTAATACTGACAGTCCTTAGTGGGGATAATTCTAGTACCCCCTATTCTGATCCCTGTTAATGGACGGTTCGTATAAGGGGGGAACATCCCAATATAGGGGACATGACATGGTTTGGGTGCGTTTTGTTGGAGCTGTGTTTGGTCGACCTTTTGTGTTGCTTCTTGGCACATTGAGGGAGAACTTGTTCAAGAGACTCGTAAAGTTGTGCTTGGGGATAGGTGTTGCGTTGTTTGGATCTTTGTTTCAGTGGGCTGAGGTTGATGGTGTTGCAGCGCTTGTCTAGGCACATTGTGCGGGAGGACCGGTATCTCTGCGAAAGTTTGTCTTTTGTAGGTGCTAGTTGCCAGATGTTCTGGTTGCGGGAACAGGGCGGCAGGTACTGGGCTCTTTCGGGTGATTTAGTGGAGCTGTTGCAAATGCAGTTGCATGGTCCTGTCATAACCTCTCCCATGTGACTTGCATGAATGGAGCGTGTGGCGAATTTTCAGAGTGCGTAAAAACCATTAGAATGAATTCGCCTTTTCAAAGAGAAGCTAGGTGTTGGGAGCTCTACAAAGTTCAGCCATGACCAGCCCTTCCCCCTCCTCTCCTCCCTTTTCCCTCTCCCCCGTTTCAAACACCTTTCTCACGATTCCTCCAGTACCAGGCATTCCTCTCCCAGCGTTACGCACCATTGCCAACCAGTTCCACCATTCCCCAAATTTTCCCCTTGGCCCCTTGCCCATTACCCACCAACCCCATCCGTGCCTGCCGCTACCCGCCATTCCCATCACTACCACTCCCGCCATTTCCCACTATCGTCCACCCTCTCCACGGTACACCACTGCCCAGCATTCACTCTAACCCTTCCCACCACTGCACAGTTCCCGGCCACTACCCACCACGACACACTATTCCCACGTGACCCACCAGAATTCCACCACCCAACATTTCCACCACAGCATTCCCACCATTACCCACAACTCCCACCGTTCCCACCAGCCGCACACATTGTTTACGACAGCCCGCCAATCCCCCCGCCCCCAAGACTAGAAAGGCGAAAAAGACAGAAAACTCAAACCTTCGAAGCCGAGACCCGCCCTGAGAATAGAGACAGAAAGTATGCCCGTTAGAAAAAACGGTCTGGTAGCAACGCCTTTTTCAACAAACGGCCCTGCTGTGCGGCCCCGTCAGCAAGGCATGTGGCGAAAAAACAGCCCTAAACCCAGCCTTGAGCAAAGTAGCGAAGTGAGTTTTAGCCCCTTTCGAAGCCTTGCCTGTCTGGGTAGTGCTTAGGGAAAATTTCAATTTTCCCTTCTTTCCGTTTTCAGGGAACCTATTTCATAAAATAGTTTTAAACAAAACTTTAAAGCACCACGCAGCTGTCGTGAGAAGTCGGAAGCCCCTGCTCTGAAGGCAGCGTCATCTCGCAGCATGGAAGTGGCACAGGATGGGAGCTTCGGCTTGGAGGCCGGCTCCAGCAAGACAACGGCAGATATGGCACGATCATTTTCGATTTCTAATATGTTCTACCTTATTATAGAAGTATGTTTCTATAGCTGTACAAAGGAACAGACCTTCCCTGCCTTACCCACCAGCCTCCCAAATATGTCATTTCTGGTATATTGTGTCATATACAGAATATACGTATATGTTGCGAAACATATGTAATACATGTAGTATATGTAATATATGTATATATATATATACATATATATATATATATATATGCTACGACAGAACCAAAGGACCAGGTGTGACGGCGCTCTTCACTACCGACTCCCACAATGAGTTGATGTTGCCGTGGAAGCCCCTTGGCACTGGAAGTTGCTCTGCACGATGCGACACGAGCCTCAGGACGCCCAGCCAGATCTGAGGCTGCCCGACACGGGTGTTTGGCATCACTTCTGCATGATCTACGATGCCACGACCTGCAGGCTGTCGGTGCGGCCTGGGTGCATGAGCAGCGTGATACGGGGGGTGCTTGAGCTCAGGATTCGGAGATGATCGGAGCTTGAAACTCAGCTAAGGGTGCGAGATGGTACGGAGCGCAAAGAACGGCGGGTGTCTGGGGCTTTCCGGCCTCACGAGGAGGAGACGGTGCTCATCGGCAGGAGCAGAGTGGGTAGATGTGGGAAGCTGTTCAACTCCTGTTCTCTGGTTTTTATGGCTCCTTGAGGAACCTCTCTATATCTGCAAGCAATGGGGCAACATTCAGAGTAGGCAAATTAGGCTGCGGTAGCTGCGTGGCACACGTGGCCGGGCATGCCAGTTTGGCCTAGCACGACGCCCGTTTTGGTTTCAAGTCGCGCACTCGCCTGGGCGCGGCTTGGCCATGGGATTCTTGGAACGCTCCTGCGTCTTTTTCTTGGCACGTGTTTTGGTCAAGCTTGAATCGCTCCGTGCCGCGAAAACCTCTTCATGCCTCTTGAGCCTCGAGCTTTTGGATGATCTCGGATGGGGTCGGCTTCGTGCGTCCGTTTGTGCCCGGAATCCCCGACCATGCGCCTCGTGAAATGTGGGGTGCCTGGCATGCCCCTGAGGTCAATAAGTGCTGTTAAAGTTTTTGAAGTGGTCTTGAGGTGCTCCTGGGATGCTCTTGAGGTGGTTTATGCTGGCATGGCACAGTTCCTTCAACTTCCGCCTTGAGGAACCCGGATTGGCCCGACAGGGGCATCATTGGCGAGATCCGGAATGCTGCAGTCTGGCCGAAGGGCTTTGACTTTGGACTCGAAGACCTCCCTGACAGGGCAGCGGCAAGAGTGGAGGAGGCTAAGGCGTCAGAAGAACGTGAGTCGAACTCGGGGAGCGCGTGAAAAGAGAGGCACATCATGTACAGATGGCGTTTCCGATTCCTTCTCCTGCCCGTTGCACGATCTTTTGTGGGCGATGCCAATGTGTCACCGCGCCGTCAATCTCGGCGTGTCGTGTGGCTTGTGACAGTCAACTGCTGTGGGAGAGCAGGCTGATGTACTTGATCTATTCCCAAAGCCCATCGCAGCTCAGGTGATGTTGATCGATGCTTGCGGCAAAGCCAGCCGCTGGCAGCTTGCGGCTGGAATGATCAGTGATATGCAAGCCGAGAGCGTGCCTGCGGACGACCCGTGGTTCCAGGGGTGATGGTGCTGCAGTTGTGTTGAGTGAATGTGTGAGCCTTTTCATGTTAGGGGCTTGCTAGGAGGTTCAAGGTACTTATAACCCAATTCTAACTGTAGTTATAACCCACTTATAAGCCCCTTAAGTACTTACTAAGTACCATGAACCTCCGAGTGGCTCTGATGATGCTAAGAACTTCTGCTTCCACGCTGCAATCGGCGCCTGCGAAGAGGGTGGCTTCTGGCAACAAGCGCTCGGCCTCGTGGCAGGCATGCAGCAGCCTGGAAGCAGTTTACATCAGGGTTTAGGGTTTCGGGTTTAGGTTTTAGGGTTATTCTCGAAGCAGGCGAAGCCCCCACAGCACCTGCAGGGAGGTTAGCCAGGGGAGAAAGGCAGGCCCCAAACGCGAGCCTCCTTCATTGGGGAATCTTCTGCTCAGCCAAGGCAGGGGAAGCTGCAGCTTGCCACGCACTTCATGTCCCAACAAAGGCCCTGGCGCCCAAAGGGGAGTTTTTGGTACCTTGGGGGACCAAATGAACCTTAAGATTGGGGCCATGTTACCTATACTAAGGTATATGAACCATAAACCCTTTTAAGGTTCATCTGGTGCTTAAAGTACTTAAGGAGGTCCGCACGTGCAGGTTCATACGGGTAGTTGTAAATGAGGAGAGAAGCAGGGCCAGGTACTTAGGACTCTACTTCGCACCTGATGGCCAAGTCTCCCAATCGCCCCTAGAGTCAAGCTTTCACCCTGTGAAGATCGAAAGTTTAGGGTTTAGGGACCATCGAGTTTCAGGTTGAGGGTTGGGATGTTTTTAAGGGTTGCCCACCGTGCCCCCGGATTCAGCATGGTCGTTGACATCACGGTTTCAGTTCATGACATTGGGGCTCAAGTGCAATCCCTGTTGGGCTCATGGTCAGGTTGATGCGCGTTGAAGGATGGCCTTTGAGGGTCCGGAGTGCTTGAGGTCACACAGTCAGTTCTCTAAGTCATGGTCCTTTTTTGGGTGCCCTAAATAAGAGGGGCCTTGCAATAGGGAACCCAAAAGGGACCATAATTTAGAGAAATCACCACATGGCCAAGTACTACAAGAAGAGCGAAGCAGAGTTCCCATGCAGAAACCGCAGAACAAAGTGACGTGTGGCCTACGTGATCCACGCCAATGGGCGTCACGCCGCTATAGTGGTTTAGCGAACTCTCTTCAGACATCAGTTCAGAAACGCAGCATTGGGGTCCAACCCTCGTGGTGTGGGTGAGTCCCTTTGCTTGGTCTCAGGACGGTCGACGGAATTTGCTGGGGCTCGGTCCTGCACGCCATGAAGGAGGCTGACAGAGAGGACTGGGATTTGGAGGGAGGGTTCGGGAGTGAACTATGGGGGAGTTGTCGACTCTAGACTCTGGACTCCCTGCTCTCTAGACTCTCGACTCTCTACTCTCCAGACTCCAGACTCTCAAGTTTTGCTAGGCATTTAAACGACAGAGATGGCCTCGCAAGGATTTGGCCAAGGAGGTGCTGGAAAGCCTGAGGCTCGTGATGTGGTGTTTGCCCTAAACCCTAAACCCTAAACCCTAAACCCTAAACCCTAAACCCTAAACCCTAAACCCTAAACCCTAAACCCTAAACCCTAAACCCTAAACCCTAAACCCTAAATTGGAGCCTGTCGGCCCGATGGTTTGCGTGCCAGTCATGGAGGCAGACTTGGTCGCGGGCATGGCCATCTGAGCTGGGGGCTCACTTTGCATCTGTTGCTTGGAGGTTCATGGGCACTTATAACCCCAATGATAAGTGTACTCATCATCTACTTCGGAGATTTAGGGGGCTTTTAAGTGCAGTTATACTTGGGGGGTTATAAGTACCCCCCTGAACCTCCAAGTGTTGGGGTAGGTCCGAGGACCCCAGGATGTCTACGTGCCGGGTCCAGGACATCGGTGGAGAAGGTGGCCGGCCCAGACGTCGCCCAGTCGCACTTCAAGGGCTGCGGACATTGCCATTTTTCGGATCGTGGCAGCACGATGCGCGCAGGTCTTCCTTGGGGAAGGGGTGCTGGCGGTGTTCAAGCCTGCGGGATGCACAAGCGCGGGCCCCAAGACGACTCCTTGCTGAGGACATGTTCCACTGCGCTTAGGCGAGAGCGTGCTTGAAGACCTGCTGGCGGAGTGGCACTCTAAAGGGTGGCACGGCGACCTCACGCCTGTGCCCTGGGGTTTCGTTGTTGAATGCAAGCATCGCTGTCGTGTGTATTGTAGCCGCATGACGTTTTTACGTATGTTACGTCTCCGCAGCAACCAGGCTGGTTTCGCGGCTGGATTTTCCAACCTCGGGGGTGCTCCCCCTGGCGTTGGGCGGTCCAGAGGAGGGGTCGACCCAGTTCCTCGATGCGCAGTACGCCGCCCGGCAGGCGCGGGATGGTTCGGTTGGGAGGGCAGAGGGCAGAGGGCCGCATCTACCCTGTGCAGCCCGTGGCCAGGTTACCAAGGAATACCTCTGCCTCTGTGCGGGGCAGTCCTTGGGCGCGAAGGGAGCGCGAGCTTCCATCAACGTGCCGCTACTCGTGTCCCTGGCCAAGTGAGAGCTATGGCAAGCAAAAAGGCGCTTCTTGACCTGCAGTGCACGCTTGTCAGGTCAAAGGCATGGAGCGAGCGTACTGGCAGACGAGTTGAGGCATCCACTGCTGGGAAGCAGGCGAGCAGAGGAGTGTACTACTGCTTCTTTTTTGCCGTGCTGTTTTGTTGGCCAGGCCCGCACGGAGATCCGGATTCTAGAGCACTTCCACATTCCGCCTGAACTTGGTGCAGTGGAGGTCAGGAAATGCAAGTCACGAGCCATTTTCTACCCTAAACCTTAAACCCTAAACCTCAAACCCTAAACCCAAAACCCCCTAATATGGCGTGCCGCGCCCAGAGTCCAAGAGCTTCAATGTCACCGGGAAGGCTCTCATGCTTCTGGCGGTGCGGCCCATGACTGGTCGTCTACACCAAATACGTCCCTTGCAGCAACCAGAAACCAGAAACCCTAAACCCTAAACCCTAAACCCTAAACGCGACACCCCTCAACCCTCGCCTGGCTTGTCCGAGTGTGAGCGATTAACCCCCTCAACCCTAAACCCTTACGTACAACACCAACGCCTTACAGCTGGTTTACAGGATTGGATGTTCAAAGACAGGGAGTGTGTGTTTCGCACAGTGCTGAGCTTGCTGATGAAAGATGGCGGAAGCAGTTGCAGCAGCACAAGGAGCTCATCTTGCTAGCGTGGGCAGCCCCATCATCGGTGACAATGCCTATGGTGGACTGGCCTTGCAGTGGCCCTACACATCACGTCATGAACAAATTCAGTCGTGACATCGCTCTTTCGTTGTTCACGTTGCAGGGCGGGTGCTTGTCGCCTTTTCCTCCACTGCCGGTCCGTCTCCCTGAAAGACCTCAGCGGCGTGCCCTTCGAGCCACACTATCCGCTGCCGCAGGACTTCCGCAGCCCTGCAAGCCTCTCTGCTCCAACCCCTCCAAACGCAACAGGATGGGTTCTGTGCTCTCTTGCAGGATCTGCAAGGAGTCCTGGCAGAACTGCGGCCGTGCGCGGAAGAGAGGGACGAAAAAAGCCGACCTGTGGGTGTCTCTGTGTTGGCCAATGGTGAGGACATGTGCGTGCCCAGGCCTCAAACTCCAGGCTCCAGGCCTGGTTCTGCTGGAGATGCAACACCGTTCGGGACTTGGCAGAGAGGTTTGTTGCAATCTGTTTGCCCAACAAACCTGTGCAGCTAAAACTGTTGAGGTCGCGACCCGGGACGATGAAGCGGAACAACAGCATGACGCGTTTACCGGATGAGGCCTTCCGCATACGCCTGGCAGCACTGGCACGACATGGTGACGTGCTGTAAGCCAGGCTCCCATTGTTGTCGGTGAGAAGGGGTACAGTTGCGACTCCCCGCGCTCATCTCAGCTTTGCCTGGATGCGGGATAGCAACACGCCACCAGTATGCGGCCAAAATGTGCGGGTCCACTCAGATTTAGTTATGATGCCACGGAAGCTAGAAGTATATGCGCAGGTGGTGCAGAAACTGGAGTTACATCCATGATGAAGGTTGCGTGAGCAACCTATGTAGCGCAAAAGCAATCAGGCCGGCGGCGCGACCGGGCTCAGCGTCCTCCGCCTCCGCGCGGAAGCAGGGTGGGCTTCTGACGCCCGGCCCTGGCTCGATTGGGAGGTTGTTGCCGGGATTCCTTCAAGTGGCAGTGCTGGACCAGCGCGTGCATGCGCATTCCGTCTTCTGGGACTCCAAGCCATTTTAAGTTGAATTTGCGGCGCTCCATGATTCCGATTCAGCTTGCTATGCCAGGTTGCCGATCGATACCGCGAGCTCACAGCAGTCCTCAGGCCAGTCTGGGACAGTATAGCGAGTTGAGGAATTAAGTGGCACATCTCCCCTGTATGCTCTTTAAGACGTTAAGGTATTGTTTCGGTACCTGCTTCCCCAATTCCCTGTTCGGAACCAATCTGTGACAGCCTGTGGCCCACTTCACAGGGTCTGTTTTCAGGTGGGGCGTGGGGGTGGGAGGGCACGGTGCATCGCTTGTTCTGGGCAGGATACACTCCTGGAGTTCGAACCTCAGGGCCTGCAGTCATCTCCATTGCCCTGACGACGTCGCTACTGTCCCCTGTGGCCACTAAGAACACTCCGACACGATCCGGCAGCAAGAAAAGTGGTGCCTGCCTTAGTAGCATCCTTTGTGCTCGTTCTGTCATATGCTCCCAGACATGCCTTTCGCGCTTTTGTGGGTGCGCAAGGCTCGACCACTCCAAGCAGCGGCAACATGATGCGACTGCAAAGTGCTGAGCATCCTCGTGTCGTGCCATCCTCCATTCGGCTCCATGATGTTCACATGCCTGCCACGACATCCGGAGGCTAAAGATCTCGGAATGTGGTTGCTGAGCTGAAGCCGAGGCCCGACGAGCCTGCATCGGCTGTGCCGACCCTCCAGGCCCCGACATGTCTTCCTTGCCTGGAGGATGCTGGGGTGTTTTTGTTTGCAGGCATCCTTGGTAGGAGACTTGGCCGTGCCGAGGAGAACCTGGCGTCTGGGGGCTTAAGGAAAACGGGGGTACCCTTTTTGGGGGCCCCCTGTAAGGGGATTCGATGCCATTTGGGGTATCAACGGGGTACCCCTATTTTGGGAGATACCCCTCTCATGACTGTCAACCCTCAACCTTGAACCCTAAACCCTAAACCCTAAACCCTAAACCATAAACCCCAAAACCCAAAACCCTAAACCCTAAACCCTAAACCCTAAACCCTAAACTCTCGCCAGGCTCCGGAGGCCACGACGACGGCCAGCGGAGGAGGTGGCGGAGGGATGCAGCGCATCCGAGATCGACTCAGTGAGTGCCTCAGGTTTTTCTGACGCAGCCCTGCGGGTTTAGGGTTTAGGGTTCAGGGTTTAGGGTTTAGGGATTAGGGTTTAGGGTTTAGCAAAAAGGGTTCAGGGTGGTAATATGTGGGTGGCTGTCAAAATGATGGTGCCCTTTTTGGTTATAATACGGCACCTAATATTTAGGGTACCCCAAAGGGATCATAATTTTGACAGCAACCCACTAGATAGGGGTATATACATACGCTCATAATCTCTAATGCTATGATACGAGAAGACTGCAAGACGATGACACTATAATAGCATCACATTATACCTCTGTACTACCATAGCACTGTAATACTATACAACTCTAAGCTTTTGATACTGTAGTACTCTACAACTACATACTATAACGTTATAATGCCACACTGTGGCCCCTGCTCTCAACCTTACATCGAGCGTTCCTGCTGAAGGTAAGAACCTGTCTGTTGCCACGCCGGTGAAGCCACCCGAGCAACAGAAGAGCAAGGCTGTGAGCTGTTGCTTTCGGGTTTAGGGTTTAGGGTTTAGGGTTTTGGGTTTTGGGGTTTAGGGTTCCGACTGATTTCCGAGCGCACTCTCCTTGCTTTGCCAGATGGAGAAGATCTTCCGCACTCTCAAGCCTGGCTTCTGCCCTGGATTCCACATCCGCTCCCTTCTGCTTCTGGCGCTTACGCACGTGCCCAGGCGAGTCCATAAACAACACCTACATCTTCGAGGAGGAAATCTACAGCGGAGGCCGGAGAGCCCTCCGATGCGCCGGCCACAGTGAATTGGCTGACTCGGCTGACTCTGATGCAGGCTGCAAAGGCCGCGTGCTGGCTCGGGCACTCGGCGCATCCGACCCCGCAGCCCGAAGTGGCAGGGTTGACAAACATGAATGACAACACGCACTTCCTGGACTGTCGAGGTTGCAAAAAGGAAGACCGATGGGCAGGAGGTGGCCGTGGCCTCAGGAAGAAACTGGGCTTTTTGGGTTGGCGAACTTGGTGGGGGGGATAGAGCGCTTTCGGACGCGACAGCGTCGTCTGGCATTGGCAAGGTCGTCAAGATCCGTGCGAAGCAAGCCAACAGGACTGACGTGGACTGCCAGGTGTCGGCAGTGAGCTTTCGTGGAGCTTCGTCGCGCTTTGCAGGGCGAATGAACGCAACTGGCGTACAATCATGGCCCAGATGCATGGCATCTCCACAAGTCCCTTTCCTAGTGCTGTTTGTCTATGTTGACCTGCTTGGATTCCATGTGTGGACTGCAACGTGTACCAAAGGCGCCTCATCGCAACTTAGGCGACAACGTGCTTGGGTTCTCTGAGATCGTAGAAGGCGAAAACGAGTTCTATGCATGTCCCTCAGGGCGTCTTCTGACGGAGGGCTAGCTGGCCGTCATCGGTTGAAATACCGTGATTGGCTTTTCCTTCACGGGCAGTCTAGCACGTCTATCGCTCCACGGATGAAAGAAGTGGCTTAAAGGCATGTTGTAGTCCCAGAGGCCCAGATTGGCCGAGTGATCCGAGTGACAAGGTCATTATGCCCAAGTGCAACGGGGGCGAGCTGTTTGAATTCTTGGCCAATGAGACGGAGGCCTCCAACCTTTCCTGGGGGGTGCGCTTCAGCTCCCGTGCTGGCGATCCCACCACACCGCGACGATACTTGAGCAACTAGGGCTGCTGTATCGTGAATTCAGGCCCTCATGTTCTTGACAGTTCCTGACTGATCTGCCCAGGTCCCAGAAGCTGAGTGCCGCGCTCAGCGGGCGTACGGCTTGAGTGCTGGCCACAACTTGGCTCCAGCTCGAGCTGGGAAGATCAACACAAGCAGCCGCCCGCCACACCACATCAGAAACACAGCACGGCCTAGCAGTTTGGCTGGCTTTTGTTGTGCCCATGAGCCTGCAAGGTGCAAGCGCATCATCAGGGAGATACTGGGCGCGGTAGGACCCGCATCGCAGCTGGCACATGAAGCTTAGACCTGCGACTGGCATACGGCAACCAAGTGGCCGGCACCACAGCTGCTTTTTGGATCAGGACACTTGCACAAGAACAACATCATTCACCGAGATATCAAGCCAGGAACTCAAACAGGGGAGGTCCCCCCTAAACCCTAAACCCTAAGCCCTAAACCCTAAGCCCTAAACCCCAAAACCCTAAACCCTAAACCCTAAACCCTAAACCCTAAACCCTAAACCCTAAACCCTGAACCGGAGGTTTGTTGAGTCCGAGAGTCTGTGCCGGTGATGGCCGGTTGTCGTGTCGTCCGTTCAATTGCCCCCCCCCCCCCTCCCCTCCCCAACACTAAGGGCTTCTCGGAAGGGCCTTGTGGGGTTTAGTTGGGGCTTAGGGTTCAGGGTTCAGGGTTTAGTGTTTAGGGTAAGCCCGGGTTCAGAAGGGTTTAGGATAACAAGGATTTGACCTTCCGTGAAAGGGGAGCGCGCCCTTGTGGAGTAGTCTCACGTTCGTTTGGGTGCTTTTGCAGTGATCTTCGCATGTTTCTGAAGTGGGTGTCGTTTGGGGACGCCAGGCATAGGTAGCTGCACTGGAAGTGCTCAGTGCCAAGGCCGGAGAACATCATGTTCGACTTGGACTTGATGGTCGAATCATCTCCCAAGACTGTGAAGCTCATCGACTTCGATACTTGTCGGGCTCCCAAGCGCGTTTTTTTGGGTTCCTTTGCTCCCCCTTAGAGTGCTGGGGTGACGGTGTGTGTTGTCAGCATGCCGTGTAGTTTCACAGGCCAAGAGTGGACGCCGCAGACGCCAAAGAGTCGGCGGTTTGTGGGCACGTCGGATCCTGGAAGGGTAGCGAGTGCGTGTCGCTGCGCCAGTCATGTTCATGGCACTTGCCCTGAGGCCGGGTTACATAGTGCCAGCCTTGGAGCCGTTGGGATCTGCGAGTTGGGGGGGGATGTGAGGAGCCTCCCAGAGCAGAGAGAAGTTGTCGCCAGGCTCCGGAGGCCTTAATGGGGCAGCAGTCCCCGCAGTCAGACCTTTGGTCGGCCGGGATCCAAGAATCCAAGAGGCTCAGAGCCGAAAAGGGGGGCAGATATCTCGGCCGCCTGAGGTGGGGGTGATTCTCTACATCCTCATGACTGGTGAGATGCCATGGAGCTCCCTCGTCAGTCTGGAGGCCGCGGGAAGCTTTGGGATTTCTGAAGATGGGGGCCGCCTGGGCTCGGCTCTCCTGAGCATGCATTCCTTCCACATTGCATGTCACTCGCGCGCTGTCGCACGCGCCCCTGCACCAGCCCGCACACTTGTCCACGTGCGTGCAGACACGCAGAATCACTCCTTCTCTCTCTATCTTTAGAGACAACCAGGAGCGAGAGAGAGGCTTGGGTAGGTCCCGGAAGTCCGAGGGTTCGTGAGAGAGTCTCATACACAGACTCGGTGAGGGGGGGGGGGGGGGGGATGGGCGCTGGAAGGAAGGAAGATGCAAGTCCCACAGTGAACTCGCCGGAGGTTCGTCCGGGGCACGATCTAATGGAGTGAAGGGAAAGGGGACACAAGCAGCCGCGCTTCGGAGAATCGCGCACGCAGGCCCCCCCCCCCCGCGGGGACTCTCATGCCCAGCAGAAAAAGAAGAAAAATAATAGAGAGAAAGAGAGGTAGTAGCTCCGGAGAAGCTTCAGGCACGCGTTGGTCCGGGGGTCCTTCCAAAACCACAAGAAAGCAGATAGAAACAGGATTTTCTGCGTCAACCAAAGACATGCTTCAGGATGGCCTGGTGGGCAGCCCGAGCGCGACGCAGATGTACCGGGCCCTCAAGGCATCCTGCATGGGTGACTTCGGCATCCGGCTGCTGCAGTGCTTATGGTTTCGGGGTTCGTGTTTTGATTGCCAGTCAGGCACCCTGGTGATGCCAGTGGCTAACCACTAGAAAACTGGTCAAGAAGTGTGAGCATCTACGGTGATGGCAAGCTGGTCACAGTAAGCTTTTGTTGCGACATGACTCTTGCATCAGGCAGAGATCCTTGAGCCGTGGGCTGAGCGACGGACGGCCGTCGGGGCAACATTTTTAAACAAAAAACCCTAAACCCTAAACCCTAAACCCTAAACCCTAAACCCTAAACCCTAAACCCTAAACCCTAAAACATGTTCTTTGTGCTGCAAACCGGTAAGGTGGGAGCAGGAACCTTGGCCTGACTTTCCTCTGGCACGAGATCTTTGCTTGGTGCCTAGCGCGCCTAGGGTTGCTGGATGTTGCCACCTTATCGTGTACAATCAGGTGTTTTTTTTTTTTTTTTGGTGTGCATTTTCTTGCGCAGCTTGCAGAGTTTGCTGTTCTGACCGGACATGACAAGACATCTGTCTCTCAGGCCAAAAGTTGCTGGCTTTCGAGCTCGATGATCGCATGAAAGACTGCGAAGAGGCTTGGCCCACAGTTGCCTGGCTGTGGCCTGCATGTGAATGGTTTCGCGAGTTTGCGAGCTGTTGTGTGAAATTCGCATTCCTGTGCGATTTCCATGGCAGTCGAGGCACTCAGCCATGCTTGGTTGAAGGAGTGAGTGTTCGAGAGCGGAGACCTCAGATGTCGCGCGAAGCCTGCGGAAGCAAGCCGTTACGATCTGTGACAGCCAGGTGCCGTTCGCTGATAGTGATAGTGAAATAGTGCCTTGACCATTGCTGAGCAATGGCGGTTTGATTTGGAGCGCTGGTGGTGGAACCTGCACAGCTCAGCTCTGCTATGCTCTGCACCTGCGCACCTTGCTGAGGAGCCTCATTCCATATCTTGTGCTCTGCTCCAAAAGGCAGGTTTCCCCCATCTCCAAGCTACGGGCTCCAAGTTTGAGGGCTTGTGCGAATTTCCTGCTTCGCCAGGCCCTCCTTTGCCAAGATAAAAGTTTGGCCAAGTTTTGATGCGACCGCTTAAGGCGCCAGAAGTCGCACCGTTTGCAGTTCAGGACTCCGTCTTGTGCTGCACGCGGCAGCTCAAACATCACACCCCAAGACCCAAAGGCCAGATTGACGGAAGCTGCCTCGTGTTGATGTCTCTGATGCGCACCTGTCCTCACAGAGATGTTGCAGACGACCAGTCGCCAGGACTGGGACACTTTACACATCTTTACACCGCTTACACCACTTTCAGAATCTCATATCCAGCTATCACCAATCATGCGCTGGCCTTGAAGGCGGCAGAGGTCATGTGTGCGCCATACGGCGTCTTCGAAGCCACTGCCTCCAAGTAGAGCATGGCATGTTCCCCGAGGTTTTTTTTGCATCTCGTGACGAGTTGCATGCGATGGTGTTTCACGGGCAGGTCTCCGGCAGCTGCCTTGTAGAGTTTGGGATTTGCTCGTGGTGCACTTATCGCACAGCAGGGTTCATGTCATCGTGTGCAGAACCAGACACTTTGAGCAAGAACAGCTGTCGCGAGGTGGGGCGGGGGGGGGGGGGGCAGGGCGGCCCGACAATTTGAACACAAACATGGGGAGAGTTGCAGTTGACTTGGCTGCAAACCCTGAATCCTAAACTCGAAACCCCAAACCCTAAACCCTAGACCCTAAACCCTAAACCTTTTACCCCTTTACCCTTTGTTCAGCTGGTGATTGCATCCGATGCCTTTTGGCTCACGAGATCAACGCCCTCGCGTCATTTTCCATTTTGGGTCAGCATGGCAGAGGAAGACTTGCCGCAGCGACTTGGCATGATTTCGATCCCGGGCAGAGTCCCTAACCCCTGACTTTTGCTTGAGAGCTGTGTTGCGAGGCCTCCTGCAGATGAGGGCGCTGTGCCTGCAACGGCAGATGCTCCTCCGCCGCCTGAGGCTGTTGCTCTGGAGGGTGTGGAGACAGGTTCCCAAAGCAGTGCATTTGCCACTTGCGACTATCCGACATTGACAGGCCGAAGCAGACGCTGCTGGTTCCATGTGGGAGACTTCAGACGATATCGTAGCGGAAAACAAGAACCCTAAACCCTAAACCCTAAACCCAAAACCCTAAACCCTAAACCCTAAACCCTAAACCGTGGCAAGATGTTTTCCCCCCCCAAAGCCAAGGTCGCAATCGTTGGACACGCCACTCCAAGGCCTCGAGGAGGCCGCGGCCACAGTTTTTGCAGCCTTTCCATGGTTAAGAGGATGGGCATGACGGTAGGGATCTCTTGATTCTTGCTCTTGCAACATAAGGTAGATGACTTGAAGGCCGAGTTCTTACTGAGTGTCAGGTGTTGTTCGTTCTGAAAAAGTTGTAGCATTCGGATACTTTTGATCCGAGGTAATCCATAGGGACTTTCCGGACGGTTCCGGCAGCTTCACTGTTCTCCACCACCAGCATCTATCGTGGCCGCCTCAGTGCTACAAGGGCCGCGAGTTGGACTCATGTTGCGAAGGCAGTGGTGTGTTTCATTGTTGTTGTTTTTGTTGTGGTGTTCCTTGTGATGCTTAGCTTGGCCCGAGGAAGAGCATGATGAGTGGTGCGGGACCAATTTTGTAGGTTCATGAGCTGGATAAAGGCGAGCTCAAAGGATAGACGATTCGATGAATGGACGGCATCAGCGTTCTGTATGGGGCTTTCGCCGCATGCGCATCTCATGGCAGAGCCGCTCAGGTAGCTTCACATCCACTGCTTCCAATGGCGGAGTGACGCAGCAGCGACCCAAGAGTCGCCAACTCGGCTACCTTGTTTATCACTGCGCGGACCGAGGTACAAGGGATGCTTTCAGGGCGACCCTCACCAAGAGGGACCCATTCCAAAGGGCCTTGGCGCATCCTTGGCGCATTTTACAAGAACCGCCGTTGGTGAACCCATGTAAACTTGTTCTTGCCTCGCAGCTGCCAGGTGAGGATCAACCCTGATGGGTCTTCCTACACAGGTGAGTGGAAGGACCAGTGCGTGTAGCCCTTTGTAGGGTGTACAGGGTGACACAACGTCACACGGGAAGGAACTCAGAAGCAGGCGCAATGGGGACTGCAGTGAATGGGTTAGGCTTTCGGGCCCCAAAACCCTAAATCATCTAAATCCTAAGCCAGGAGCAAAAAGTTAAAGGCTCAGGCTGAAATTAAGAATAAGTCCACTATGTTATAGTTGAAGATATTGAAGTGCAGCTGAGAAGTTTGCAGTCCTGTGGCGCAGGACGGCCAGCCCCACGGACATGGTGAATGGAAGGCTGGGCCCCGAGCCCACAGCTGGTGGATTAGGGTTTAGGGTTGAGGGTCTAGGGTTTAGGGTTTAGGGTTTAGGGTTTAGGATTTAGGGTTTAGGGTTTAGGGTTGATGAGTGGGATTTTACGATCGAGGTCTGGGGCTTGGGGTTTGGGAGTGAGAGCCAAACGAGCAGCCGGATTGTCCAGAGTCCCTTAGCAAAAACAAGGAAGCTTGACCATGGGTTTAGGGTTTAGGGTTTAGGGTTTAGGGTTTAGGGTTTAGGGTTTAGGGTTTAGGGTTTAGGGTTTAGGTTTCTCAACAGATGTGAGGGTCTCTGTTGGACATGATGGGCCCTTTTGTGGGCACCCTAAACTGTCAGGAACATATACCAACCGGGACGTAGCATTCTCATTCTTGTTGCTATGCCTGTCGATGTCATTGCTGTTTTGTCATCATGAACCATAATGCTGTCATCACGAATTATTATTGCCGTTCCGTTTTCTTGCTACTACTGTTGCTTTTTGTGGATCACTGTGAATCAATCCCAAACCCCAAACCCCAAACCCCAAACCCCAAACCCCAAACCCCAAGCCCCAAGCCCCAAACCCCAAACCCCAAACCCCAAACAACCCCAAACCCCAAACCCCAAACCCCAAACCCCAAACCCCAAACCCCAACCCCCAACCCCCAAACCCCAAACCCTAAACCCTAAACCCTGAACCCTGAACCCTGAACCCTGAACCCTGAACCCTGAACCCTGAATCCTGAACCCTGAACCCTAAACTAACCCTAAACCCTGAACCCACATTCTCATGATGACGGTTGCAATGCGCTGGCAGGCTGCTGACCCCTCTTGTGAAAGCTACGTGGGGGACTGGAAGGCCTAGATCGCCAAATTAGGGTTTAGGGTTTAGGGTTTAGAGTTTAGGGTTTAGGGATTAGGGTTTAGGGTTTTTTTTTGGCGGACAGGCTCGGGCAAGTCAGCGCGCGATAAATTCGCATGCAAGTCTGGTCTGCGAATGACCTAGAGAGCCAAAAGGCTGAAAAGGTGGATCGGGCGAGTGTCAGCTATACAACCTACTTCAGCCCAGATCTTCAAGGGGGGGGGAAAGAGTGGCCCACCATGGCCTCGGGCCCATGGCGGCTGCAGCCGGACGCCAAGCTGTGTCAACCCGGCCAATTGCTTCGGGTGTCAGGTCCGATGCCGCGTAGACTGCTCTACATCCCCCTTGTCTACGCAGGTGCTCAGCCAGGCGAGCTCCCGTCCAAAATTCTGTGCGACAAACTTCGCAACAAGTCCCAAAGGTGACACTACGGCCGGCCGATGGGATCTTATGTACGCTGGCCTTGTGCACAGCGAGTCTTCTTTTAGAGAGGAAACTCTTTTGGCAGAAGCCACACGCAAAAGAAAGCGACTTCGCGCATGCACCGACAATCTGTACAGAAGCTTCAGTGCCAACTCGCGCGTCGATGTCTTCCCAAGAAACAGGAGGGCGGCTCACGCTGCAGCTCTTCAAGTAGTAGCGGCAGGCGTTGCGCAGGAGCGGGCGCTGTCCCCGAAGCAGGATTGCCAAATCCTCCATCAGCAGCTTCGGCCGGTCCTTGAGCTTTTGCTGGAGGGGTGCGTACGTCTTGCCAACGATGTCGAGTGACTGCACCGCGGATCGAAGCCAGACCCCGTCAGCTGTCAGTCCCGGCCAAGCAGCCTCCATGCCAGCGTCTGTCACCTCTCCCAGAGCTCTGACCCTGGCTGCGTGAAGGAGTTCTGCCGGGCTAGCCAAGCGAAGCGCTGCCAAGACCTCCTCATTCGTCATCCGTTCCGAGCTCCTTTGGAAGAAGGGCCGTATGCACCCCCTAAAGACACGCATTAGGGGGGCCTGGGCCTTTGCTGCTTCTTGCTTAGTGGCCAAACGCCACAAGCCGGCTCCATGCAGAAAACGGGGCACGAGCCTTGACATCACAAGCTCACGCTTCTCATCGAAGGTGAGAAAGGGGTTGTGCAGGATGCGCGAGCGGTATACGTGAAAGGACTGCATGAGCAGCCCCTCTCTGTGCATGATATTGGCCAGCTCGCTGCAGTCGGCCATCACAATGCTGCCCAGGTGCGTGTAATCCCGCACAACTCGCAATGCCCCCTGCGTGTTTCCGGGCAGCTCAACATGCACCGTCGGCACGGCTTGACAGAGTATGTCCTGTTTGGCTGATTTGGAACCAGCGCCGCGTAGGGAGATGATGGCCTCAGTCTTCCCTGGTCCCAAGTTTGCCTCCAGTCCAAGTGAGGATAGCCCGAAGATGGCGATCTTGCCAATGCGTGAGAGGGCATGGCCGGCTTGTTTCGCGTCCGGGGCACAGAACAATATGGCGACATCATCCGCCCAAGTGGGCGCCTCGGCGCAGCTGTCCGGCGGGATGCTCTGCACAAAGTGAGGCGAAAGGCCTAGGGCACGCATCTCTTCCTGGAGGTCGCGGAGAAAGCGGCTGAAGAGGAAGGCAAAGATGGTGTCAGCCACCGGCGCCCCCGGGGCAGAGCCAGACGCTGTCTCATACAGCGTGGTTCCCGGATTGCCATCGGCGAACCAAGTGTGTCGGAGGTGCGCCGCAAGGAGGCGCTGCAGCTCGAGTGGCAAAGCAAGTGCCTTTGACCAGTTGCCCGCCGTCATTTCGTCTATGAACGTCAGCTGGTCTTGCCGGTGCACGAACAGAAGCTGGGCGCGCTCCTGGAGCCGTGCGGGGTCCCACTGGCACTTAGGGTCCCTGACAAGTAGGTCCCGCGCCACAGAGTAGTACGCATCCTTGCAGTCTAGGAACAAGACCCCGCCGCTATGGCCTTTGGTCCGTAGCCACAAAAGGTGTCCTCGAACGAGGGCCGAGGGCTGGGAGAGCGTATGCTTGGGAAGCCCCCCAACTTGGCCAACAGCGCGCACATGCTCGAGCCGTTCGATGAGCTTGGGCCTGAGGGCTTTTTGGTACGCCTTTGCATCAGACTCGAGGAGGAGGATGGACCTCCAGCCCCCCAAGGTAGTGGCGTCTTTGTTGGGTTTGGGGATGGAGTGGACGTTTCCCCCACACCACTGGAGCGGATTCATGCCCCGTGCCGCAATTTTC